GGTCGTGCTCTATTCGCGCCACTGCTGGTCGACGTTCCACTGACGCTCGACAGTCGAGAGGGCAACGCTCGGGGGTGGTTGTGCGTGGAAGCGGGGGGGGGTGGGGGGGGGGGGGGGGTTACGTACTAGACCAATATTTTGGTATAGGTGAACCGCTGAGAGTTTGAGACCCTGACCTTGTTTAGGACAAAAAATTCCCAAAATATAGACCCTGTTTAGGACAAAGCCTTTAATTTTATTACCCTGTTTTTAGAACAAAGGACATGTACACTGTTTAGGACAGCTAGACTTGCGCGGAATTGTATACCCTGTTTAGGACAGAAGAAGAAAACCATACCCTGTCCTGCGGCACATAACCGTCTCCTCTTGTCTTTTTTTTCCCAAAAAGTGGGGAGAGGCAAACTTAAAGCAACAGGCACACATACACCAACCCACGGCCTAGCCAGTCCCTCATGTATGCGCACATCCACTTGATCACCCGGGCAGTGGCAGCCCGATAGACAGCTGTTTCGCCCTTTTAGGGGCTCATTAGCATGGCATAGCAGTTTAATGATTCGAAACTGGCGTATTTCACGTTGAGAGCCTGAAAATGACCGGAAAAATCATGATTAGGGATGGTGGAGCCGGCCCCCACTTCCCAACCTCCGCCCCCACCCAAACTTTTTTGAAAAAAATAAGGACAAGCAGGACACTTGCTCCTGCAGAGACGAAAAACAAGCGGGGGCTCCCACTTTTTCCCGCCACCGCGCCCTTTCCTAGAACTAAAGGATTAAATTAACTGCAAAAACCGTGGACGAAGATCCCGCTAGTTGTAAACGTTGGATCTCTAGAAAAGAGATCAAATCAGCCAAAATATAAAGAACAAGAACGAGAAGTCCGAAGACTACAGCAAAGCTGATTTAAAACAACGTGTACTGTTTTTTATAACAATATTTCGGCTGGCCATACCAGCCTTCTTCAGGTTTACAGATGTTACTGAACTTATGTAGCAATCACAATATTATATAGATGGAGAATGTCGCAATAAAAGGGAGAGGCGGAAATGACGTACAACATAAAAACTGGAAAGAAAAAATACTAAGGATATGGATTACAATAATTCGTCACGGCGGTTTAGGCCATGAGGTTCAAGAGTCATGACCTTATCTATCAAATGCGACTCCCTGGCCTTACGAGCTGCTTTATTTTCGATCGCTTGGCATGTGTTAGTTTCGCGACGTCCCTACTGCATGTATCCGAGAGCCTAGCACAGGCTACTAACCTCCTTTACGACAAAGAGAGGCCTCTGAAAAGGAGAGAGGATAGTTTACCGACGGGTAGTAACCGAAATAAAAAGTAAAAGATATTTTGCAGAATCATACCTTGCGCCCCCTCCTGCTCGTGCTCAATCACATTTCCCTAATCCTGCAAGCTGCAAATTTTGCTTTATAAACTCACACACCTTAAAACCATGGCCAGTAGTTATAGAGAGAGGTCGGGGCGAGAACGACGATCGCAAATGGAGACAAAAAGGGTCTTTAGCCCCAAGACACCATTGGAAGCACTGAAGATAGGGCAATGTTCTATGAGGTGGCTCTCAGTTTGAGAGAACCACAGGGGCAGTTCCCAGAAGCTTCCTAGCCAATAATGAGAAGGAAGGCCTGAGTTTTCCCCCACAGCCGGTGCACAGTCGATTGAGCCGGGCTGCCCGAGCGGCAGGTGGGAGCCACCTGAGAGAGAACCCAGCAAGGTGAATGAGGATGAATGATCCAATTATGTAAGATGAAGTGTGCACTATCCATCAAGGAGCCGTTGACCCAGGAGCAAGTTGAAAGTAAGAAGGGCGATGCCGGATCTCAAGTTCTGCGACGCATACATCGGAGTGGTACATTAGCTTTGACAAGAAACTCGGGTGCCGCATGATTGCGAGATTTTGTTTAATCGACATCACTTGTTTCATGGCTTTTTCGTCTTTTTTTCCCCTCTCTTCGCAAAGCAAGCCAAAGCAATGATTGCCTTTTAAGGAGAATTAACACCACTCGTCTCATTTTTCTTATTACAATATAGCTGATAAAACCCTCAAATCACTAAGGGTCATTTAACGACACACCACATTTTATCTCGAACAATTCTTTCTTAATTCCCGGCACTGGATCGATTGTATTTACTCATTTATTCGTGGACTCGATTCAATTTCTTTAAGGCTGCAACTCCTCCGATACACTCAGCTTCCTATGGATTACATAGGGTTCCGTAGATTATATAAAGAAATTCACCCCATGTAGGGGAAACCGGATTCCGGAATCCGGGAAGTTTTTGCTTGTGGAATCCGGAATCCTAGGTTTTTGAATCCGGAATACAGCTCAAGGAATCCGGAATCCCACTAACGATTGGAATCCAGAATCCAAGTTTAACTGACAAAGAATACAGAATCCAGTACCTGGAATCCGGAATGTACGGATTGGAATTCAGAATCCAAGACTGTCTTGGATTTCCTTTCATGGGGCGAAATCACCTCCTTGGAACATTTGCGAACCTTATAATTACTTCCGCTCACACCTGTGAGGTAATATCTTTTTTTAATCAGTTTATTCCCAATGATAACCTTTATCTAACAGAATACGTCTTCAATTGGGAATATAATGGAGTGTTTTGATTTCACTTGTAAATATTTCATAAGTTTAGGTATTGGAATTACTCACGATCTTACGGACGTTAACAGGCTATGAAAAAATGTTTAAATAGACATCAAGCCGGGAGGATAGTTCGAATCTTACAATCCTATATAGCAACTGTTAGAAGTCTAATTTTGTTTTTGACAGTAAATTTCATTAATTCTATAAACGGCCCGGTTGCTGTAGCAACAATCCTCTATATGAGGCCATTATAAAACAAATACAATTTATTTCAGAGCCTGAATTAACGTAAAATAATTGGTGGATGTAAAAACAACAAAATTTCTGAAGTAAAAAACATCGTATGATTAAATCAACTCACATTTCTGTTTGGAGAATTCTTAAGTGTGTTTCATTCATAATCCAGATCTAAGAAACTTTGAATCAGTTTCGAGTTGACTCATCAGTTGTGTACCAACCGGCAGGAACTTCGTCCAAGACTTTATTTTTTATAAAGTTTACGAGTGGATTCCAAGGCAACAGTTTGTCATGAAAGCTAACGTTAGAGACATTATTATTCTCAACATTTTGGTAGCTACATTTCTATTTATGGGAGCTGGGATTTTTCACGTCCTCGAAAGTCCAAACCAGTATGGCCAAGATCACCAATTTCACGAACAAATCAATCAAGCTACTTTACACAGTTTACACAAAAACCTGAGCATAAGCATACCGAAAAATGAATTCGATAACTTGGTGAAAAACGTTTACAAATTGAAGATAAATCGTCCATCAAGATTATCAAGTAGTTATAACTGGTCGTATTCCGGTTCGCTCTACTTTTCAGCAAGCGTTATAACCACTATCGGTATGTATTTTTTTATAACTTTTCGCATTATGTAAAAGTCAAATTAGAAGTGGTCGTAGGTTTTTACACATATTCCTTATTCTTAGCTAGAAGAACAGGAGCACGATATCCTTCCGTTTTTGAACTTGCCTTGACAACTATATATAATATGCAAAAATATCCGTTTGGACGGAAGCCACCCAAGCCGTACAAATACCATTCTCGTCCCCAGCGCCACTCGGCTTAATTTGTAACCGACCCCTCGTTTTCCGACCACGTGACCAAGAAACGACGGGCTTTGGGAACGAGAATGCCCTAATACAGCATCGTCCCAATCCTGGTGGATCGCAAAAGAAGAATTCTCGTGGGCTTATTATCCTAGCCTTTGAGTGAACTGAGGCTGAGGTTGACCTTGTTTTAATAGAAACCTACTTCTATTACTTATAAGAGTAATGCTTTAAAATACTATTTAGCATAAGAATAACATGAGTTACATAAGGAAGCTGGAAGGGTTGTGTTCAAGGTCAACTCCAGCCTCGTTTCCACCTGTAACTGTAAAATGGGCTATCGGTGACGTCAGATCCGAGCTCGCTAAGGAGGACTAGGAACGATACTTGCCGTTTGTGCGCGTTTATGGCAAACTTGGATTAAGAAGAATTTCCGTCAAATAATGAAACACTCAGAGAGAAAAAGTTCTGAGCACCCTCTAGCTGGCTAAATTGAATCAACACCCCTCCAGTATAACGGTTGAAGTCTCTTGCCACTGAGCTACGCGATACTGATTAATTTTGTTTTATTCCAGGTTATGGACATATGGCACCCTCCACCTTCGCTGGTCGAATGTTTTGTATATTCTACGCTTTAGTTGGGATACCTTTGTGCATGTTGACACTGAAGGTAATGGGCGATAAAATAAACGAACTACTGGGAAGCTTCTTCATTATGATCAGTACCAAACGCCAGCTAAGAGAAGGCAAGAGGACTAAAATCAAGGTCATATCAACTTTGGCAGGAATAGCCTTAGTCTTTCTCTTTCTCGGCGGATCGCTTTATTTATCAGAGGACTGGAGCTACTTCGATGGAGTGTACTATTGCTTTATAGGTAAAATTATAATGGGCGACCGCACGTCAATAGAGGTCTCGGAATTTCATTCATTATTTATTTGGAGAAGTGTAGATTACATCCCATCGAGATCAAACCTCTAAGGCGATATTTGTTCTTGCTGAGATTTCATTTGCAATTAATTATAAGAGGAAACTTGGGAAAGGTTGTATAATACATATATAATTACTTTATCCAAATATCTTTTCTTTTTTCAAGAAATTAGTAGAAAGTAGAAGCCTTAGCTTTTCATTACTTTCAATTGCTCAACTTTTACCAATTTTACTCGTTTGACCGCGTCATTAACCTTCCTAAACCTGTTTGTGTTCATACTCGTCGTCACCAGGTCTTCTCCGTTTTCTAATTGAAGAAAAAGTCCTGTAAATGAAGTTGATCGGTGGCAACATTATATAAGGATAACACACAGGCAATCTTACTCACTTAGCCCTAAAATGAACTCATTATACCGTGTTTGTTTCAGCATTGAGTACCATTGGGTTTGGGGATATGGTCCCCACAAAAGGCAACGCACCCTCATCAGCGATTCAAACACTGGAATATATCATCCGGGGTTTATACCTTGTAATCGGCCTCGTCCTTGTGTCGAGTCTTGTTTCTTCAGTGGTATCTGCAGTGAACGTGTTGGATGGATGGGATTGTTGTAGGCGGACAAGATGTGAGTATAAATATATAGAGGATATTCCACGGTGGCGCGAAGATATGAATTTTATTTTCGAGTGGCCAAACAATATTTTACGAACGAGCGCAGCGAGTGAGTAGAATACTGTTTTTGCCACGAGAAAATAAAATTCATATCTTCAAGCCGCCGCGTTATGTCCTTTTTATTATATAGACAAAAAGACATTGATAAAATAACATAGGGAAATTACCGAAATTACGTCATCGATAAACTCACGTGTGAGATTATGGAAAATAAACCACTCGGGTCCCGGATGTAGTTTTTATGAATTTTACGAGTGGTATATTTTCTAGTAAAACACTTGTGTCTATATAATAAATAATATTAAAGTGAATGGCTATTAGAAAAGTATATTAAAGTATAAAACTCACTAGGAGTTAGCGTCAAATACTAAAGCTTGCTTTCGGCATGTTTATCTATACATTCCGTTATAAATAGAGTATAAACTTTTTTTCGAAATGTAATTGAAAGCAGTTGAGAAACAGCGTCTTAAAAAGGTAGTCACTTGTATAAAATATAGTAGGATAGGTGAGCGATAGTGACTACTTTGCCCTGAAAAATCGTTTACCTGGAAGTACATGGTACGTGAAACAGTTGTATGTGAAACAATAGGTCCTTTGCAACTCTGTCGCTTTTTCGTAATGACCACGTTTAATATAGATTAGCAAACTCCTAAGCTGTAATCAGAAGACTACATTTGCTGACTATGAGACAAACTAAGAAGGTACCGTAGTAGTCACCAAACCTGCGTGACGCTCTGACTACAAGTGTGCTAAGCCATAAATCGAAATATCCCTGCCTGAATTGTGAGAGAGGTGGCCAGAGGATTGTCCACGAAATCTCTAATTTTCTTAGCTATGACACCCAGAAACACTATGCAAACTGTTTTCTCTTATGTCGAACGCAATTTAAAACTGTTACTGCCACCATAACAGGGTAAGAGTATATGATGAGCAAACTTTTAAACGTGATGTTTTCTACGTTCACTGTCACTAGGTGTCTGCTGTCAACGTAAAGGCAGTGATTTTTCAGACGAACTGGGTCCTAGAACTGACGGTCTGTACTCAGTCTCCAGCGGCCTAGACACCATTGTCTTTCCTTCCGTAATTCCCTTCAGGCGATTTGCTTCGGATGAAGTAACGCCGCTGATTGATGATCCTCGCTGGCTCTACTGACGCAAGACACGACAATCAATTTATTATCTTTCGTTAATGAACACTCTTCTTTATTATTCACAAGATTTTTTAAAGTTTCCTACGAAGAAACAGCGGAAGCTAACTACAACGACTAACAGAAATGTCAGAAGTGCGACTGCAACTTTCTCGAACACAGTAGCAGATAGAAACGCACTATTTATTATCACGTATGATTCTGATGAAGCTCTTAAAGTATTAATCAATGCAAAAAAATTTGAAAAGTATATTGACGTGGTTGTTTGCATAAAAAAGGAAGCTCCGTCTTGTCGAACTTTGCCGTTTTCTATAAACCTCACGCTTGCACCGCTCTTGCTCCCGCCTTCCTTCAATACTTATCTAAGCGGCACTTTCATCGCCAACCAGGAAATTGCAAGGATGTGTGGTTATCTTTTACGGCGAGAAAATTAGCCTGTGTTTATTTAGGCTTGATTATACCCCTATCCATTCCTAGGCAAGGAAGCAGCTACTCAAAAAACTGAAAATTTGACAGAGATCTTGTATACACAAAGCTCTGCGTAGTATAGTCATGATACCGGTGATATTCAGTACTACATGCACATATGTACAAGAAGAGACTGCGTGAGTGAATTACTTTTTTCGTTGCTCATAGACAACTTATAACAAATGACACGACGAAACTCCTTAATTAAATCTGGTTACTGCGTGTACTATAGTTGCTGGTTAATTAGTTTAACCGCCTATATTACCAGTCATATTCATTGCTTTATCGAGCTTTATGCTTTTACTGTTTTCAATACAATAATATGTGTCTTAAAAGTTAGAACTGATGGCTGCCAAAGAAGCTTTGTTTTTCGAAGCGAAACAATGTGATGGCAAACGTACCGGCTCACATTATATTTTTGCTTTTCGTCTGTTTTTTTTTTGTCATAATTCTATTGTAAGGATCAGCTTGCCCTGAGTTTGATTACTTTTTATTTATAGTAAATAGTCACCCGATATTTTCAGCTGCTTTATTGTTACTTTATACAATTAACCAGTGTTGTCACCGTCTTCAAATTAAACTCATCGGGCAGCCCACATTAATTGTGTTGTGTCGAAAGTTTACTTTTCAGTTCCAAGGATAAGAAGAAGCCGGCGCCATGTTTGTATTACCTGATAATCTTAGCAATTAACTGTAATAACTTTCTCTTTTTCTTTTCTTCGTCTTCAAAAGTATTGTGAATTCTCTCGGTTATTCTCAACTACTTTAACTCAATCTCCACTTTACATGAATAAAAACTGGTTGTTTAAAGCTCAGAGCTAAGAACTGCCATTTTTCTTCCAATGAACTCAATTTCGCATGTTTTATTTGACCTAACTTTGCTTTAATTAATGCTGTTCAGTTACTGACTTGCTTTTCCTTTTTTCCGATTGGTTTATTTTCTTACTTTATGTACATTTGTTTGGGCGAGAGTTTTAAATAGCGGGGGGTTTCTTGAGAAACTGAACTACTGGTGGTAATTAAGTGATGTTTTGTCCGAGATTACGTGAGTTTTCAGACTAATTATTTAAGAAAACCCGCAAATTAGTCACTGAATTGAAAACTGAGGAATTACCCTTCATATATATGCTGCCGGAATTTATCGAGGAATTTGTTAAGTGGAAAGAAATGAATCCGGTTTGTGGTTGAAAGCCAGAGTTATTCAGGTGTTCTGGGAACTTATTGTTTAATGTACCTACGCTACGCGATCATGGACCACAAACTGTTGCGAGACCTAGTGCTATTATCTTTGTTAACCTCTCTCTACATGCTTTTTGGCGCGGTTGTGTTTCAAACGTTGGAAAATCGCCTTGGGGAAGACCTTACCACCAAGAACTTGACCGAGTCATTAGAAAAAGACCTACAGCAAAAGTTCAATACAACAAAGCAAGAATTGGTGACGATTTTAGCGCGTGTGAGAGAGATTGTTGACAAAGAAAACAATTCCCAGAGGACAGAGTGGACTCTTTATTCATCGCTTTATTTTGTTGGGTCGGTTATAACCACTATAGGTAAGTTAAAAAGAAATTTAGTTCAATAATCGTCCTGAAGGCTTAGTATTCGATGGTCCGTAACAAAGCTAGACAGAGTTTGAAATGTCTAGAAAAATTTATTTCAGTTTCATTTTTCTTGCGATAAAGCACAACCAAAGAAAGTTAAATCTTCCATCGTTTTCAGGCAAGTTCACTAGGGCGTAGCAAGGGGGTGGTCCTGGAGTGCTCATGACCCTCCCCCACCCCACCCCTTTGTGAAATAATTGTTTTATGTCCCTTTCAAAATAGCTGGGTGTTATTCCTTTTTTTTATCTACACCAAAACGTCTTTCAGTAATGCTAAATATTTTCAGTTATTAATATATTACAGTTAACTCTAAATCTATTTTAAAAGACACTTCAGCTATAATTAAAGAAAGCTAGCCACCTCCCCAAAATAGACAAGAGGAGTTGCGCTCATTTATGTTACGCTTTACCTTCACTCTTACTGAGGTCAGTGACACCTCTCCGGGATAAGACAAGAACTTAATGCCGGTCCTAAGAGCGTGAACTTTCATTTAATTTTCTTAATCTGGTTTCTACAGGTTACGGTCACATATCGCCGCGAACTGCAGCTGGACGTTTGTTCTGCATATTCTTTGCTATTATAGGAATCCCACTCAACCTTCTTACTCTAAAAGCTCTTGGAGACGGAATCAATGAGCTTCTCACCAAACTGATCATGAATTTCGAGAGGAAAGTTCTCAAAAGGGAGCCAGTGCACCTTAAAATAAAAACCATGATCTTCTCAGCCCCTCTGATGGTACTAGAGTTGATCTTGGGCGGAGTCTTGTACAATTGCACAGAAGATTGGGACTTCTTGGCTTCTGTGTACTATTGCTTCGTTGTATTTAGCACCATTGGATTTGGCGATCTGGTCCCGAATCAAGGCCGAGCACCTACTGAAGATTACCTAATTGGTATGATAATTATGCGTGCTGTCTTGTTGATCATCGGACTGTCAACTCTTTCCAGTGTTTTAACAAGTGTTTTATGCGCAGCAGAAGAAATCAACTCGACTATTCCCAAATTCTGCTGTTTAAAGAAGAGGGGGAGAGTAGGGTCACTTTGCTTGCGGTCTCAGCAGTCACGTGATGACAATCTTAGTGACGTAAACAGCGAGCCATCAGGAGCCTCGACAACCTATCAGCTTGATACCGAGTAAATCGGTATTAAATAGTTCAAGATTCCTTCTGTTGTATTTGATCACTAAACCTTAATGAAACATTCAGCCTTTCGTTGACTCTTCTCCTACTGGTAAATTTTTATTTCAGAAAAAGTGAGTAGGCTCGCATTTGTAGAACAGGCTTTTTAATGATAACGTTAACATGCGCTGTGGTCTGCCACCTAATTTGTATTAAAAGCACTGAATGTTTTTCTGCTAAATGTATCAAAATTCCTGAAAAAGCTAGGTAGGAGCTAACAGAGAGGCACGGTGGCCCAATGGTTGGCGCTTTGGAATCGTACGCGTACCGGAGTAACCAACGATAGACTAACATCGCGTCCAGAGGGGAAAGTACGGTAGAAAAATTCTAAGTTGCTGCATGAGCTACCTACCCAACGAGCGGAAAGATCGAAGGGCCTCTGCTCGCTGGGAATGAGCCACTTGTTGCGCACGCAGATTGCAGACTTTGCCTTTACCTACCTGGGTAGCTCAACAATGCCTAGAGCCGCGAAATACTTAGATCTTGTTGTTAAGGCCCTGTTACCTGCTTCGTTCCGAGGTGTCTCAAGAGCAACCAAGGAGTATCGCGCATTGGACCTTGGAAATGCTAAGTTTTGGTGCAAAGGGCGCTGGGAAGGTTGGGCGAGACTCTTCGCCTTTCCCATGATCCTTTGCGTGGAACCAAAATTGCTCCAGTCGCTCTCGATTACGAATTCTCTGGAAAATAGACTTTTTTACCGAGTCGGCGGCCATATTGAATTAATTAGATTTAAGGAGTATTATGGGATGCCCAGGGGGGATGAGCACGATTCGATATACTCGCTCAGTATTTACGCGCGCTTTCCTGGCCATTTTTTCTTTAAGTTTTCCTAGAAAAAGATTGTAATGGGGAAAAAAGATCGTTATGCCTATCGATGGCTTTGGAATGGATGTTATCATGCTCGCCTCCCAAGAAAAATACATTGAAGTTCTCTTTTTTGCCCGAAAAGCGCCCGTAAATACTGCGCGAGTGTCCCCTTGGCATCCCATAATACTCCTTAAATCTAATAAATTCAATATGGCCGCCGTATCGGTAAAAAGGTCTGTTTTGCGCTATTGCGAGACGAGTCAGAGTTGCATAAGCATTGCCTAGTGCAACATGCCTTGGAATAATCATACCTCGCATGGTATAGCCTTTACTAAAAGTATACTTGATTATACTCTGTGAAACGCTTGATGTAACATTTTCAGGGGATGTTAGGCATGGCTAATATTTTGCAAATTGCAAAGAGTACATGATCTTCAGGTCTCTCGTTTTTATACTGATTGTCTAGTTTTGGCAGCTCCTTTTCCACTTGCTGAAAACGTTCTAAGTTACAACGTAAAAAATTAAAAGAAGAGTAACAGGCTGTAATATTCCTTAAAACCAAATATTGTTAGCACAAAATTTGCAATCACCAGAGACCGTTTATTTGTTTGTCTTTGAATTACTAATTATCACGTATGCAACAAAATAAACGCAACGGCTTACAAAAGTTGTTTTTTAATAATCTGTACTTATATCGTAACCTATGATGTATTTACAGTTAGTAGAAAAGATTCGTAAACTCATGAGTAGGTACATCTCTTAATTTTTTGAGATTAAAATAAAATGTATGTTTTTTTTTCATAACTATTGTAGTTTGTTATTCACGATTCTACCTAAATTAATAAGGTTTGAATATTTAGGTCTATTTTAATTCACGAGTCATCGAGACAAGCAAATGGTTCCCCATACTACGTACCACAACTGGTGGTATTTCCCTCCTTCTGAGTAAATATGTCATACATTGACTCAATTAGACTTTAAGCTACATAAACATCTAACTATGAAGTTAGGCAGGCGATCAACACCCGCTGTTTTTATTCTTTTTGTAGAGGGATATATTTTTTTACGTCTGTACATGCGTTTTGTTTACTGTGTGGCACGTGCCAGGTCATTTAAGAAGACGCTAGACGTACATGCGCAATTGCGCGTCTTGCGAACACTACCCATGCGGTCAACAAACAAGGCGGATAGGCCATTTCCAAGCTGTCTCAAGCCTCTGTTTCAAAGCGAGGCTAAGCGCGAAGCCATTTACACGAAAGTCATTTTTTGTTTTCATGCAAATAAAACTCATTTTCACAACAAAGGTTTGGCATTTAGTCTCGTTTCGAAATTGGGAGTTTTTGGAACTCGAAAGTGGCCTATTCGTAAAGCCTCGTTTCAACATTTCTTTACAAGAGAAAGAAAAAACAACAACAACGACAATCTAAATTAACTTGAATCCCACAAAAACTGAAGTTTTTTCACAACCACCACGCATCACTGACCACCCAAGCTTAAAAGGAAAGAAATACATTCAGCTTTGACACAACTGAACATTAAAAAGTTACATTTCTTAATTTAAGGCTTGACAGGAAGTGAACAGAAAAATCTTTTTTTTTTTTCGGCAAGCTTGCACGCCGCGCAAAAAGCCTTGGATTTGAAATATCTATTTCGACGGAGAGGAATACAGCTTTGTAGAAAGCTCTTGAGACCTGAAAGACAACAAAAAATCTAAGTCTTAAACACAGTTTTAACTGACTTTTATACCACAAAAATAATTCTTGAAATAGCCTTAAAATCTCCATTTTTATGTAAAACGACTGAAAAACTTTAAGTCGAGCTCACAACACGTGGACTTTGATAAATAAATGCATGAATAAACGCAACAATGAAAACATAAATAAATATAAATATCAAGAAGGAATAATGGGACAGACAGGGAATCTTAGGGTGTCTGCCGGGATATGTGAGTTTTAGAGACTGTAATTAAACGTAAGCTCTAATTCCTAAGACATCCGCATATTTAAATCGATTGTTTGAAACATCACCAAGTCCACGCGCACTGTCTCAAAGCAGAAAATGCAGATAAATTTTGTGGACCTCTCCGGAAACCAGCTTCAGATTAATTTCAAGCTTTTAATTGGTCTAAAAATAACTTAAGTGAAATAATTCACATATACCAAGGCCTGGACTGAGCGTGAGCTTTTCCATCTCTGGCCCATTATTTCTCTCTTCCTAGATATATCAATAAGCCGACATTTTTTCTTACCTAACACGATGTCAGACTGCCGAGACTTGACCCTCTTCCTCTGTAAAATTAAAAAAAAAAAAAATTAGATAATTCGATGCTGACATGGAAGGAAGGACAAATACGACAGAAAAGCAAAGAGAAGGACATAAACAAGGCTTTCATAAGCATAGAGAGACTCACCGTCGTAACTATCTACGTAATCTACTCTTCTGTATTGGTCGACTGGATAGTGGTGATACCCTCCATACTGGTACGTGACACCTGGAAAACAAGCGAAAACCCTAACCAGTGAGAGGATGTACCCACTATGACATCCCGGCGTTGATAATACGGGTAACTAATAAACTGATAACACGATCTTATTATTTAAAATGCAAGTCGTGATTCAACCTTGAGAGGAGATTGGGTACGAGTAAGAAATGTATCACAATAGGCCATTTCTGAGTTCCCCCGGGCCTCTCCATCAAAACGAGGTTAAGTGCTCAGCCTTTGATATGGAAATGGTTTTTCATTCTCATGCAAATAAAACTCAATTTCACAAGAAAGGTTGTACACCTGGACTCATTTTGAAACTGAGGGTTTTTGGAACTCGGCAGAAAGGCTTGTGGCGACAAAAACGAATTATTTAAATGAAACATAACAAGGTAAAGAATCCTAAGTGACAGGAGGCAAACCAACTGGCTATGTACAACCACGCCCGAGAGGATGAGTTCGGTTATCACAGAGAAAAAAATCCAAGTAGGGGCCAGGGTGGACTTGAAAAGGGGCCTAATTGGGGAGAATGGACACTGGCTTTTGCCACTTAGATTTCCGGGATCGTTTTGACAACAAAGAAGTAGTCTAGAGTATTGGAGAGGAATACAGCTGGAATATTGTCTATAATAAGAAATCGGTAATCAGTCACAGCTCATGTGTCAGATAGGAATAGGACCAATTAAACGCACAACCATTTAGGCCAGGTTTTTCTGGCCTACGGGAGCTATTAACTACAATTCGAGAGTTATGAAAAAAAAAAAAACAAACATAAAATACAACTTACCAGGGTGGTAGGGGTGTTCTTGAGGGGCTGTAGGGTGCGTAGGACTGTATGGTAAATTTTCTGCTGATTCTACGGAACAGAAAAAGACAAAATGAGCCAACAATTCAGATAATTATTTGCTAAAATATTTGGTCCCTTCAGCTAACTTATTTCTCTAACGACATTGCACCCATTGTCACCTAGACTCGGTAGTTTCCTAAGAATCTTCGAAAGTGCACGGTTTTATCTAACGTGTCCAACCGCAAAATGTCATGCTGATCGAAATGTTTCTTTTTTTAACGCTGCCTTAGTCTTGATGAAGCTCTTATTCATTTGAATTTTTAGAACAATGGTCCTACTGAGACATTGTATTCCCCGACAAAAGAGATTATTTAAAATATAATTACCTGAATAATGTACCGGTCTAATCACTTCCACACCTACAAGATAATAAAACAGGCAAATTTATCGTTATCATAAACGTTTTTAATTGAGTGCCAGAAATAAACATTTATTCACTATAGTTGAGCCTGCGGTCATACAGTCATTTAAAAGACAAAAGAAGCTTATCGGTTGATGCAATGCAAAATGAACCCCTCGCCTCGCTTCTATGTCTGTAATAACAGATAATCGTTATTATCTTGGTACTACTTTGCTGCGCTGTTTAATCGGCTGACAACGTCTCGCACCAAAAATTCTATTTGTTAATGTGGCGCGCGTCCTCTTAAGAGGCATTCAATGGAGGAGAAGGTGATACCTACGATAATGCTAGGATGTAGCTCTTTGCGGAAAACAAGCGTGCTATCCAAGGAGTGTTGCAAGAATGGTTGCTCGAAAGTCGTAAATGCTAAGACCAAGTAATAGTCAAGTGGTTTGTGTCGCGTAGAGGGTTTATCAATCACGATAACTTGACTACAAAATCGTTGACGGCTTTCTTTATCTCACCTGGCGGATGACGATAGTGAGGTCTTCGATGATCATCATTGTAGTGAAGTCTTCTTAATTCCTGCATGTGTACTGTATCTTCGGGTAAAGACGTTCTGTCGTTTTCAGGGAACACGTGTATGTCTTCTGTTAAGAGAACATGACACCAATGAGGATCAAGGAGTGCTTCAATTGCACTTTAACTTTTGATTTGAAAACGTTTTACAAGCCAGGGCGTCTGTCTTAGGGCGCCTCCCATTTGTTAGAACTGACCGGCCAAACTGATCCAGTTGTAAAGAGAATTCCACTATTTAAAACCACTATCCACTACCACTATAAGCCAAATCAGTTATGGTATGTTCGGCAGAGGTGGTTTTAAGGAAAAATTTCGAGAAAAGGCTAAATATTTCATTTCCAAAATGAACGGCCCGGCCGGTAACCGCCTTAAATGAGTGGCGTAGCGTCGTCGTCGTCGTTGTTGTTGTTGTTATGTGCTTTATGGCGTTGGAACTGTCTGCGATTATGATGATCATGTTATTTGAGTGTTTACCTTCGGGTAGAATTTTCGGTGATTGAACCTCCGGAAAAGACGATGAACTTGCTGTAGAAGACACCGAGATTCGGTCACCTGCAAAGTGTAGGAAGGGAAAGAAACCGTAAGAAGCAAAACCCGAAAGGAAAAAAGTCAATAAAGGGAAGGAGGGGAAAACGGACGTTTTAAAACTGTTTTTCAACGAAGACGTTTGTTTGGCTTTTGATGGGCTCTGAAATTCACGGAGGTTCTTCAGCAATTATCATCGGATACAAACCAGTCCTCGGTATTGGCTCGGTATTTGGTGACCTTTCCACGCTTGGGCACCACAGCACGATTTTCACCAGAAGTATCTCGTTTGCTTTGGTCGGAATTAACATATAACTGTCTCACAAGACTAATGATAACAATTCCACAGTCGGCTGTTTTGGGACAGATATGTAGATATGACCTTTCAAACGGAGCCTCTTGTGCACTACTCTCAAATGGAATCTCCCCGTCCCCCCCTCCCGCCCCCCGCGTATTTTACTTAAAAAGATAGGAAAAGTCTCCAAAATTTTTAGTCTATAAATTACTTAGGTATTGAACAAAACATTATAACAACAACAAAAGGCTTAGCTTACTTGCAATGAGTTCCTTCTTGAGTGCTAATGGCGACGGAACTAGGAGATAAAACAAAAAGAGGGTTAGCATCCAGACGAAATGCGCTAACTGAAGAATAGTAAAGCTTTCCTTAATCGTCCAATTCTAACACCATCGGGAGGAGAGGTGTATTTCCATGCTTATCGGAAGTGAGATCAACTAATTCATGAACGCTTGTAATGATTATCTTACCCGTCAGCTCATTTGGTTTGCTTCCTTTCCGATCTTTCTTACTAGCGACCGGCGAGGACGAGGGCGAGTTCTTCCTGCGAGTTTGTACGCTCGGAGGAGCTAAAATAAGAAGAGAGAAAAAGAATAACAGAGTTACATACAGTATTCTTTCCCTAGTGCTTATAGGGACTTGCGCGTAGTTGTTGCATTAAAATCACAATACGTATCAGTAAAGGAAAATTATCATGGAATAAGATCTTAAGTTTGTGTTCTCCACGCTTTTTTCCATGCTAGTTTTGCTGCACTTATCAGATAAACGCTTCGAGTAGAATTTTTGTCACATAAACATAAGGTTTATGGCCTTAGATCGAACGAGTCTTCCATAACTCAGTAGCAGAGTAGAAGAGCTAGTAACCGGAAGGTCAAAGCTTCGACTTCTGTTGGGAAAATTCGGATTTTTTTTTTCTCCGAGTCGCCTGTACAACTACTCACTCAAGAAACATCACGTTTTAGCTATCTGTTATTATAGTTAAGTACTAAGCTGGCCGAGGAATACAGGAAAACTGAATTAAACCGCTAAACAAGTTACTAACTGTTAATAGAAGAGAGAGACAGAAAGACTGGAATGAAAGGATTAACATACCGGATCCCTGAGGAGGTTCACAGATGTTTGACATTTCACGTAACTTCTCCTCGTCTTCAATGATAGTTAGGTTTGAAAGGTACTGCTGAACCCTGCGTGACATCATGGACTGCGTGACAAAAGCAACAGCGTTAGCAAATTCTATATTAAGTATGATAAAAAATCTTACAGATTATGTAATAAGAACTTGTTTTTCGATGATCCTACCTCCTCGTACATCCTTTTAGGATTCTGGTCACGCAACGATCTTCGGCCGCTACCTGTTACCATGCCAACCAATTTCTGGTTACCAGGACCTCCCTGACTGTTTGAATCGTCTTCAAACATAGTGTCAGGATCCTGAAAGTTTGAAAATTAGAAAAAAAAGAGCGGTTAGTCAATCCACGACAAAATAAATAGGCTACGAAAGTGGGTCAACGCAGAAATTGAGAAAAATTGAGAACTTACGTATGGGATGGAGTTAAACTTGGAAATCTGCCGAACTTCTCTTGCGATGAGTCGAAGCTTTTCAAAGTTTACCTGTAAAATGTGTAAAGAAAAATATTTTCATGCCATACTCTGATGCAGCAAACCCTCAAATAAACCTTCAGTTTCTGGTGTCTCATGGAGTGTGAGAAAGTTCGCAATTTCTAGTGCTGTGTGACTAAATCTAAGCGTACTGGAACAGGGGCGGATCTAGGGGGAGGGTGCAGGGGGTGCGCACCCCCCCCCCCTCCCGAGATGACCTGCGGCTTTCTAATTAACACTGTACGGTCGCTTCACAGCTAATACAAAATTTGCTGTTTCGTTTGATACGTATTCTCAGCAGCTCACATTATGTTATTGCCTAGTCAAAAGCCTTCTTCTTTATATTCGCTTTTAAAATTTGCTTACGTCATCGATCAGTTACGCCATCCCTTAGTGGTGCACCCCCTCCTAACAAAAATCCTGCATCCGCCCCTGTGGAATATCATATACTTGAAAAGAAGGCATTTCTTTTGTGGTTATAGAAGAGATTTGTGAGTCTTTAGTAGGGTAACTTTGTTTGAGTAACTTCTTCACCTCCATTCCGTAAAAAAATGTCCCATTTAGCCTAGTCAAATACTTAATCATTTTCTTATTGCTAATGAAATCAAGTTTTAAGCTGCAAGTCTGAATTTGGCTTACCAATCCATCCACAATGCTATCATTTCCAAGATGGATAAATGTCAAGTCTTTGGTGATGACGGGAAAGAATGGAATCTGAAAGAAAAAAATTACAATGCCCCTCAGTATTAAACACAAAAAAATAAATTCTCTCTACTAGACATTAACCTGACTCTATGGAAACAGACTCATCAGTGGCTGTTTCCGTCAAGAGAAACTGTCTTTAACTTAACTATCTATGTGACAGACACCTCTGGTTGGCCGCTTTGCCACTAAAATAGGGCCGTATCGTGAAGAGTTCTAAGGCGGAGAGCCAGAGCTCGTTGTGAAGATGTCCTTATCTGTCTGTTAAAGCAGTAGATTTAGATTAGTCGATATTTGACACCAAATACGAGCACGTCCCATGTAGACAAGTCTTGGACAAAGTGACTTAACGATGGGTCGATGATTTTATCGAATTTACAATTTTAGAATAATAATAAAGGAAACTGTCAATCTACTAGTGCGTCAAAAATCATTACTGGGGTAGCAAGATCTCCACTATAAGTGGACAGAAACTTCAGGCCCCAGTTGTTCTCAAAAAATGGATAAGGCTATCCACAGGATAAATCACTATCCAACGGATAAGTGTTAGGGAAACCAATTGCGCTATCCAGTGGATAGTGATTGAACCTGTGGATAGCGTTATTCACCTTTTGAACAACTGTGGCCAGGACCCGGTTCCTGAAAGGCCGATTAGCGTTAATCCTGGATTAAAATTTTGTTGCGTTTTTGTTTTTTACGTTCCTATGCATTGCTTAGGGTATCATTTTGTGCTATCATTACTGCATCTCGTAGTAAAGGCTCAACAGTATTTTGTAACCTCGAATTGCATGTCGTTAGACGAGAAAATCGTGCTTGAAATTTGGCTTAATCTTGGGTTAAACTTAACCATCTTTCGAGGAACCGGGCCCAGAGCGATAAGCTTAACTTACTAGAGGCGGTTCGCCGTGTTCCCCGTTCAGCAGATTTCTGTACTTGGACATATTTCTCGACGGATCCATAAGACCTTGAAGATCCTTGAAAAGAGAACAAAGATAGATTATAAATCATCATAAATAAAGTGCACATGTATTCTATGATCAATGGAAAAAGCTCCTGTAGGACCTAAACTCACCTCAAATGCCTTGCTATGCTTTGTGGGTAATCTGTCCCATGTGTTCTTCAGCCGTTGCACTGCTGAATGTCCGAGACCACTGTAAAAGATAGAAATAGTCTTAACGTAAAAATATCGCTCATTACAGCATTCCCTTTGAATATGTTTCCTTAGGGAATCTTCATCAGGATTCTTAAAATTGATTTTGAATCTTGAAACCCCGAGTCGACTCTAATGCTGTATTCTTACGGATATCGCGACGCGTGGGTTTCTTTGAGCACGGATTCGAAACAGTGCATTGGCAAGCGGTGTACTGGTACTGAGAAATATGAGGCATGCCGCGTTCGCACTCATTTGCGCTAAAAGATTTCCTCTTTTTCATCAAACGACTAAAAATTTAAAGAATCTGAGGTCAAGAATCTAACCTTGGATTCTCCCAAAGAGGGTGAAATGAACTCAAGAACTTACCTTACAATTGCAAACAATGAATTGTAGTTTTTGCATTCTTTACAATGCCCTGTAAAAATTGAAGTAAACGCCAAGTTAACTTCTTGAAAAAATGCAAGTTTCTCAGTCGTATACTAAATATAAACCTTTGAACTTAAAAAAACTTCGAAAAACACTTACGTGCAATTTTAATAAAAGCCTTTATTATTTTCATTCTCTTGACTAAGTTTGATTCGTTGCATATCTCTGTTACAACCCAAAACATTTCTTTATTTACAATCTGCAACGGTAACAAAAACAGGATAAATTGAGCTTCATGAACTAAATCATCACAAAACGGGAAAGTGAGAAAATAGCCTGCGAACCCAGTCGTATTTCCCGTCGTAGCTTGTTACTTTTCGGATGGAGAGAAGCGACGACTGCGTTCGCAGGCTAGTGCGAGAAGCGCTTCCATATTAACTCATTCCTACCTCAGAAAATTTTCTTAGGTTTTCCGTCAGTTTTGGGCCAAAGTTCCATAACTTGTAGATATATTCTCGTGGATCAATACTTCTAAAAATTTCAAAGTCCTAGAATAACAGGACAAAAACCACAATTAGCTATTCAGGAAAAAAAAAATGGACTATTTTCCCTTCTGTGCAAGTTGCTTTTAATGAATAGTGCTTTGCAACGTACTAAGCTGGCTACATGTTTTATATTAAAAACTGAAGGAAAATGAAACTCTTTACCCGTAAAAAATCTGATCAGGATTACATGGAACTTGATTGATCAAACTAAAATATCATACACTCATCTCATAACATTTCGCTGCGTACAAACCTACCTAAAAAACGAAAAAGCCTTTTGTTTTCGAGAAAATAAAAGTGATTTTGTTAAGGACCTTGGAATATGATTACTTTCTGCGTAAATGGAGGCATGTACGGCCAAAAGATCCGAAAAAATCATATGAAATATATTAAATATGTTGTCCTTAAAAGGCCGCTAAAAGAGTTGTTGTTTTAATTTTCACGATGCCACGAAATGCTTTGACAACTTATAAACTTCTAAAAGCACAGTACGTAATTAAGCAATTGAAACGCGGGAAAAGGGTATTTATAATGCAGCTACTAACAGAACGCGGAGATGATTAATCCCTGAAAAAACGCTGTCGTTGTTTCTCCTATAAATGATAAAAACTGTATCACTTTAAAGAGGACAAAAGCATCGAGAAAGGTTAAAACAAACATTCCTGCTGCATACGGAAAGTACCAACAACTTGCAGAAAGGGAGGAATAGTCTAGTTTGTAACTCGCTAAGAAAGGCCGATCAAAATTAATACTTCATTTACGCTACAGCGGATTAATCCACCAACATTCTTTTTTCATTTTTAGCTTCTTACCTGTAACGTAATTTCTTTAGCCAAATCTCGCGGCTTGAGTTGCAACAAACTAAAACTTGACTCTTTTGCCAGCTCCTGCATCACAAAAAAGACAGAACGTCAAAACTTTCGAGTTATTTTAGTTTTCACACCGGACTGAAAGTAGTCTAGCTAAAACACCATCGCACCGTCGCGTGTAATGTTAATGAAGAGCATAATTTCACAACCTTCCTAGTTCCTATAAACACCAGTTTAACCTAGAGCGGACAACACTGTCAGAGGTTTTCGCTTAATTCTAAAGTTTCATCCACAGACTCTAAAATTATATTATCACTGTACCGTATTACAAAAAGCAATACAGCGTCCTAATGAATGGTTCAGAATGGTTACATTCGACAACAAAACCTGCACAAAAACGAGTCTGAGGTAGTGTGGTTCAGAGCGCAGTCTGAGTGCATTCAGCAAGAAAAGGATTGAAAAAATGTAAATTCGCTGACCTGAGCTGCCTCATCTGGAAGCAAAGGACCCGACACTTCGTTATTCTTCAAGTAATACCTGCAGAAGAAAGAAAAAACTATAATAAGGGAACTACCTTGTAACAAAAGATAGTAGTTTAGCGCTTCGTCTAGACTTTACACTCTCAATGATGTTACTTCAACTCGCGTTTAAAATTCCTTTGCGTGTTCGTGTGGACAATCGTAAACGATCCGTCAACGATCATTGGGCACGTGTGTCATGTGTGTGCATTTACAAACGTAATCGTATACGTACAGATGGTCACAACAAACTGAGAATGTGTTCACACTATATTGAATAGCCTTTATGCTGTTTAACAAACAGGCAACAATTTTCCATGATCCATAGAAATGACGTCAATTCGGCCGATCCGGTAATGTGTAAACACAGGTAGGTTTGTGCTACATCTTACAACAGGCTTGCTAATAGGTTACTACTTACCTTCCATTCAAATGAATTCTATCAGGAAGATTTGGAAGCATATCAGGCAGTCTTCTTTGTTTGATGAGTCCACCATCCTCTACAGTAATCTCACACAGTGAGTAGTTACTATAAATAGAAAAAAAACCAGAAATTTCAAAGTGAAGTACTGAATTCATGTTTGTGAGAGCTTACGACGCCCTATTGGCGCCGATTCTCGAGTGACTGATAACACGTTAGTCGCGTGAAGCAAAAAATAGTCACGTGAAGCGAAAAAAAAGTTCACGTGACAAAATGTCGAGTTAAATCACTGGAGTTAAATCTCTCCTTTACTGGAGAGATTTGCTTGACTAGAGGGAAGGAACCTGGCACCTGATCTTAATCACTTACAAGGCTTAAAATGAACGCAGAAACCGTGATCGTAATATGAAGCTATTTTCTCTAAGTATATTCTTAGCAATACCGGGAAACAACGTTTTCGCTCCTTATTTAAAAAGTAATTCGTTCTTTTTTACTGTTTGCCGCCTAAAATAGCTGAAGTAGAGATGTTTTGCGTCAGTTGCGTCTTAACAACACTGAACAGGGTAGATCAGCACTAGACCAATACTGAAGCCATACAAGCACCCTTGAACACCAAAAGAACGATAGCCGTCTAACACGATCTCTTCAATCAGTCTTACCGTGGGTGGTCTGGAATTCCAAACGCATCCACAGCTCGATTAACGACCTCTCTCGCTGTAGTTTCCTAAAAATATATAAATAATAAATAATAGGACAAAATGTTCAAACTAGGGCACAACAGTTCGTGTAAGCCTCGAAACCATGGCACGTTCTTGTTTTCGCATTTTTGTATAGTGCACGGCGCCACGCAATATAAACAAAAATATATATACAGTACGTGTCTAAAATCTGCTTTATAAGCAACTACGTTAAAGCGCACGTGACGGAAAAGAGTCCCGGTTGGCAGTATCGATTCATAAGCACCGATCAAAAAATCAAACAGGGTAAATAAAGAGTTGTAAACCAGTTCTCTCCTATTAGCTTTTAACCAAGTTCATACACGAAGTATTCTTCGTGTTTTTCTCCGCACTTTTTGGTTGTTTATCTTCTTTGGGGCGCTTTGAAATTAAAACCTAAGTTAAACTGCTTTGGCTTTGAATTGGCAACAAAAAACGTGCAGCTTTTTTTGCAACACTGCTGCAAAACGAGTTGTATAGCGATGTTGCACGTTTTACCAGCCACGTTCGAACCTGTCTTGCAACAAATCAGGTTGCATGGTTTTTTCTCATGGGTGGTAAAACGCGCAACATCGCTATGAGATTTTGAAAAGGATAGATATAATTTTGCGTGTTGAAACATCTGTAAATACAATACAATTTTATGTTTTCAACTTAACCGTATAAAATTATTCAGTTCGTTTGGCAGCAATGTTGCAAAACGAGTTGCACGTTTTCTTACCGCCCCTTCTACTGTAGCTTTAGCGCCAGATGCATGTATCACCATCAAGATCCGATTAAATGGCTGCGTCTGTTAAATTACTCTGGCAATTACTTTGGTTCGATTAAACCCTTTCCTAACATAGTTCAAGTTGAAAATTCATCAAAAAATCCAACTCGGTCTGAGAATGATAATGGAAATGAATTAGCTGGCTGGAAAAAAATTGGCTATTTTAGTTAGATACTGTTTCGAAAAGCTGTAATTAACTCACCTTAAACACCATAAAATATTTACAGGTCTGGTCCGCTTTGTAAACTTTTATAACTTTATCAGGCATGTCTGACGACTGATCGCTAGCATATATGCATTCCGTGGAGCCAAATCCTCGCGGTAGAGTGGCTCGTTTATTCTTCACCGCGAGACGGGCCATGGTGTGAAGATCATCAGAAGTGTCGTGATTCACACTTAAAAGATCCCTCTCGCTTTTAGAGATAAGCCTAGAAATAAAACTGGATTTTAGTTAAAGGTCTTGTACATCCTATCCTAGGGCCTGTTTCTCGAAAGTCCCGTTAATCTTTCGCGTCCGGATTTTAGCCACAAACGAGCAAAATCTCTCTCGTTAACGTAGACCCTCTTCACTCGGCCGGTGAGGTTGACCGCAACTAGTTGCAAAATGGCTTGAGACACTGTAACGTGTTAAGCCGAAAATGGTCTTTAGAAGTTTTCCCACGATTCACTCCCCTCCCCTCCCTTTCCCACTTTTAATACAACTTGTAGGGACTCCAAGATGGTACTCACTCAACCCTTGCCACTACTTCCTTTGACCGGACAGAGAGCGAAAAGACCTGATCATTCTTAAGAACCCTCTTCCTCAAAAGCGTAGCTAAGTAAGGAAGGCGGTTTTCTATATAAGTGTCTCCATCATTTTGCGACTGCCGTGGTTGTTGCTCCGTTCCGAGATCACGGTTCACCTTCATTGACCAGGCTAGCCCAGCAGTTGCGGCCTGGTTAATCAGGCAGCCAAAGTTCGAAGCCATTTCTTTGGAAAACAACGCAACTTGAATAGAAGCACATGATTGCAGATGACATAAAATAATTCAGATAGTTTACAGGGTCGAAGTGATACCGGGACTTTTGAGAAAAAGGTTTCAAGGATAACAAGTTAAAATCAAATCACAGCAAAACATTAGTTTCGACCTTTAAAAATTAAATCGGTTGCATTCCCATACAAACCTTTTATAATCTTCATACGTTGCGATATAACTTACACAAGTCATGTTTACCGCGTACTGTGTCGTTAACACTTCTGTTCTAGCTTTTGACTGTCTTTACGACGGCCAGTTTGCCTAACACTAAATTAAGCAGTTGTGTTTCACTACCCAACCAACGCAAACTAATCAATTTGCATCTGTTATTGCATCGCGCAAGATGTAGCGTGTCATATTGGCACTCACGCGTTTTCAGATACTGGGCAAATGATAAGCCTTAAAATTAGAATGGCTCGACCGGTTTCTGAACATAAAGCAAGTTTGGAGTATTGCCTCAACCCCCGGGGCGGAAGGATAGTCCATGTGGCCGGAACTCGTTATACACCCAAACGATGGGAAAATAGGTTTCCACTAAACAACTCACCAAAATCCCGAAGAGAAGAAGTACGGTTTTTTTTACGACAAAAAGTTCGTCGCTATCAGATCATAATCAAGAAAACTATTGAAACTACAACTGTTTCACATAACAAGATGAAAATCCTCCACGTCCAGTTTTCCCCAAAAATAAGGAATTTCTCCCTTTTGAACTTGCTGGTTCTTAGATGATGCTGCGAAATTTACGAAGCCAAATAAGTTGTCAGGAGTATAGCACAAGTATAAAGATATTGATCTAGTCATTTCACACTCTAATGATATTCGCGTGACCCTCCAGTCCTGAGCGGTATTATCTTCATTTGCAGAGCAGATACGTAACAAGTCGCCCCGGATATGTTTTTGTCAGTTTCGGATAGTAAACAGGCGGTGGATATCTTACAGAGGTCTTCGAAGCCTGATTTTCACTTGCAATGCAAAGATGTACGCAACTGAAGGAATCATTAACTGCCTAGACAACAATTCCAGTCAGTTGAATTAATAGGATTTCGGCCCGCAAAGAGGAGAACATCAAAACTCGGGACAAAACAAGCAAATGTGAAAACGAAAACACCAGAGTACAAAAGAAAGAACAGTGTCCAAGAATCGTTGCTCTTGAATGGTCACATCGCCCAATTTCTTCAAAAGGCTCAAAATTTAGAATAGCAACGTCGTTCTTCATAAAATTGCTTCTGCGAATGAAAGGGTTTTAATACGGTCTTTTCTTAGTAAACTCTAAAACTTGATGACATTTTTTTACTTTTCTACAGTTTGCAGAAATGGGAAGAGAAATGTACCAACTGCCAAATACACGTGCAGTTCACGTTCGTAAAAAGTTTGTTTTTCCTTTAATAAAGTCCTTCACGCCAATGTGGTTGTCGTAGCTCCAATGCATGCATTGACAACCACGTGCGAGTGATGAGGTACAAGAAAAGCCAAGTAAAGGTTTTGACCTCTACCCACCACTGCTTCTTACACCTTTTATTACCCTGATGTGCTTGAAAGTGGAAACTTTCAACGTCAGTGAAAACTAGGGTTTTGACAACTGAGTTCTGAACTTTGCCCCTTATTCAAAGAAGAGATTCTACAAAAAGCTGTTTGGAGCAGGGTAAGATCAAAAGAGCTCCAGTTCAAGGCTGCCTCGCAAATGAGGTACAAATAGAACGCCCCTTCCATGAATATGTGAGATAAAAACAGATTTAAAATAAGACAACCGTCTAAAAACAATTTGAAGGGGCAGGAATGAAACTTTAAATGACTTTTATTACCGCAAATAGTAATTAATTGTCGCTGCTTAAAAACAGGTTATTGTAGATGCCCCCTTGCAATGAGCACTGAATTTTGATGCAGCTAGTCAAATCACAATATCCATGTTATATCAAGGCTGGAAATATTTGTTACCGAAACAAAGCAGTAATTTTTCCCTTGGTCTCCGCAACACTAAACTAAGTCGCCAATTATTTTGTCATAAACAAATCTATGTATTCTCTATACCACATGTTTTTCACACCCACGGGAAAAATCATTAGCGAAACAATGTTAATAAGCAAAAGAAAGGAGGTCTTTAATATGCCGCTATTGCGAACGTAATTGTATTGGATCGACTGGTTCAAAAGAGCCTTTGGATGAGACCTCTGAACCGTAAGAGAAGATTCTAAACAAGGAAACTGAAGTACACATAAACTTGACTTACAAAACAGAAAACGTTTTTCGGTAAATTTCACGACGAAGGACTAGGCCGACGAGAGAACTGCAAACGGCTAATGAGGTGGAAAATTTATAATTTATTGCTTACTACACATTCCCAAACAACAAATATCACCATTCAAAAGTGTCATTCATTGCTTTTGTTCAACGAACACACTTAAAAAAAAACACTCAAAAAAGCAAAAAAATTACAGCCACCATGTTCAGCATTACAAACTTTACCTCAGAACAGGTCAATGTATAGTTCTGGTTAAGTTCAAGTGAATGACTGAACGTCACGATTCATTAAACCGACTGAAGGTTTTGAGCGATCGTGCAAAGTTTACTAATGTATATAACATGCCGACGTATTATTTTTAAAATAGCTGTTCTTTAGAGGACACACGTCAAAAGACTCGAACGGGTAATAGAGCTACATCATAAAATCAAGTTTGTAAAGAATCGATGGAAAGAATTTGAGAGCCAGAAGAAATATGCCCTCTTATTTGATATTAACCGATCACGACAAAAAGTGCATTATTATTATTATCATAAACTTCGCTTTTACTTCTGCAAAGGTTAAAATAACACTGAGAATGGAACTGTTAAAGTAGAATCGTCTACAGCCAAATCAGATGGAATATAAAATGGGGAAGTATGCATTATGGAAAGTGAGTCAATTAAAGAAAATCTACCATTACATTTCGTTCCCTATAGTATATATTGTACAAGAAACCAAACTTTAAAGAATCATGACTGAAATAACGTCACAAGTTAAAACTAATGTGAGTGGAAGTCATCACATTTCACGTTTTTGGCATATTTCAGTTTCTTCCAAAAGTTTTCACTTTAAGGGAGGTCCGCTCATTCCCAGTAATAAGAACATTTCCTGACAAAGTTCGTCTGGAATGTCTGTTGCTCAACTGATTTGCATCGATAAAAATAGAATGACAACGTACTACCGCTTTCGAAGGGAATTTCGTATTTTCTAATTGACGATTTCCTTTCTACAAAACGCAACCACTAGCTAAAAGGAAATTTCACCTAAAATAAGACATATAATCCCAGTAGTCAAGTTATAGACTGAAAAAAAAATCATAAATATCTTGCTTCTAAGAAGGCAAACCAAATCGAACACACATGATCAATCAAGAACACACTATTATTCTCTAAGTTATCTGTGTCCTGTACTTACTTGCTATTCCTCGAAAGTGTTCCAAGCGCACTGAGTCGGTTTAGAGCTTTCTTCACTTTTTCAGTTTTGTTAGACGGATGTAGATGCTGGATAGAATAACAAAACACAAGAAATGGTCAACTGAGTAAGACAGTCTCGCAGGCTGACTCTACTTAATCTCCTGTAACCAGAGGCAAACGAAGTTGTGGCTATTTTGAAAGGTATTCAAGCGTTTCGGCAAAACAATAACTGAGACCAGCGGTAAATCGCAGTCTTTTTCGTGACTTCCTGGCGTGGGCGCCAGGCCCAGCCGAGCGGAAGCTAACTTGCGTCATGGGCAGAAGTTTATCAGCAGCGCCTGTTTTTCGTCCAATATTTTAAGGCGGAGAGTGAAAAGTGCGAAAAACATGCAGGCTTGGCTTGTCAGTATGTTTCTTATCTTATGACGTACCCCAAGCGGCAAACTACTAAATTTGGTATGGTTTTATTTCATGCACCCCGTACGGCAACAAGAAACTGATCGAAGACACCAAAGATATCACGGAAGGACAGTTAATTGAAAGTCAAGTTGAAAGAAAGAGGTTACTTTCACTTGATTGGAATAAAGATCTTCATGACTCCAACTTAAATAGTTTTCTGGTAAGGACTTTTTCTCACTAGCTTTAACTAGCAAATCATAAAAACAAAGGATGGTAAATAAACTTGTAAGCCGCAATCAAAGCTAAACCTTCTATTGAGGGGAAATTCCCCCTGACTCAGACAAGTGAACTGTCAATTACCTTTTTAAAGACTTCTAAATACATTAATTACAGGCGATTTTAGGACAATCGCCTCTTACAGAAAGAGACGATGAAGTTACAGCAAAGCGGGATTCTAGAGCTGGGCTGAAATAGGAGTATGGCGACCTTTNTTGGTATGGTTTTATTTCATGCACCCCGTACGGCAACAAGAAACTGATCGAAGACACCAAAGATATCACGGAAGGACAGTTAATTGAAAGTCAAGTTGAAAGAAAGAGGTTACTTTCACTTGATTGGAATAAAGATCTTCATGACTCCAACTTAAATAGTTTTCTGGTAAGGACTTTTTCTCACTAGCTTTAACTAGCAAATCATAAAAACAAAGGATGGTAAATAAACTTGTAAGCCGCAATCAAAGCTAAACCTTCTATTGAGGGGAAATTCCCGCTGACTCAGACAAGTGAACTGTCAATTACCTTTTTAAAGACTTCTAAATACATTAATTACAGGCGATTTTAGGACAATCGCCTCTTACAGAAAGAGACGATGAAGTTACAGCAAAGCGGGATTCTAGAGCTGGGCTGAAATAGGAGTATGGCGACCTTTTATTGTTTTGGTCTAGGGTTCTTGATCGTCTGTGGTGAGAAATTCTAACAAACAGTGGTTCAAGAGGTCGTTGGAACCCGTGGGTGATTGATCAAAGCAAAAAACCGTATTCTAGATATCGTCAACATCAGCCTTAACGGAACTAATCATGCTGATGCAGCACGAATTATGTTATGATATATTGATTTGTCTGAAACAATATGTTCAGACTGTTCGTCAAAACCTCCGACAATGACTCCAGTTTCTTGTTTATTGGAAGGAGCGAGAGCATTTTTGAAGTAAGGACATAACAGGTATGAAAGATTTACGCCGAATTAAGAACGACCCATTAGTCAGAATGAATGAACGAAAAACAATAGATTGAGCTCTGCTACACAGTTATCCAAAAAACGTCCAGCATTACTTGCATCTTGGTTTCAGCTGGGCCGAAAATATGTGTTGCACAATTTATTGCACCTGTATTTTTCTTGGTAAGCTTCTCGTAAAAAAAGCTGAAAAACACTTAAACGACGTTCTTTAAACAAACTTTAACCTGGGAAGGACATGATCGCAAACTGACAGTTGCAATTCATAGGATTTAACAATCCCAATTATTACATCAAAAAGACCCTTCGAAAAAAATCGTATTACGGATAAGAAAACTATATAATTTCTCATTGCTTTTTGTAAATAGTATTGTAGTATTATTGAATGAAAGGTTCTAATATTGGTGTCATAATGTATTGCCCAATTACTCATTACATCGTCATCTGTGCAAACTCTTTAAAAAGGAATTTCAATACAACAGTGATTACGTAATTACATACCCTGTAAATTTAACGTTTACAATCTGACATGCAAGTAAAAAATGATGAAAAGCAATCCGGAAAAAAACGCATATATATCGTCTTGCTGCGACGTTGTTTCGAAAGGTTACAACATTGTTCCAGCATTGCAACGCTGTGTTGCGGCAAAAATCGTCGTTGCGAATCGTCCCGTGTAACAACACTTTTAAATAACGAAGGAGGATACAACTTATACTTCATATATCATCTAAGCGATGTATATCGTGAACAAAGTTACACATTTTGGAAGTGAAGAAAAGGGATGCCATTTTATTTAAGAAAAAAAGGAACACGATTTTATTCGAAGTTCGAATTCTCNGAATCGTCCCGTGTAACAACACTTTTAAATAACGAAGGAGGATACAACTTATACTTCATATATCATCTAAGCGATGTATATCGTGAACAAAGTTACACATTTTGGAAGTGAAGAAAAGGGATGCCATTTTATTTAAGAAAAAAAGGAACACGATTTTATTCGAAGTTCGAATTCTCTTCCTGCACGGCTCAGGGAAATCAAAGCATAAACAACTAAGAATCTGCAGCTCTAAATTTTATATCTTTTCTTCTGCGTAAATATCTGGGCTTGAAATCTTCCATCGATTGCAATAATTATCGTGTCGAAGTTGATTTTGCAAAGAGGTCGACATAGTCAAAATCGTATCCATCATACTGCGTAACCTTATGAAAAAAATATTGCACTTTTGACGTGCATTCTTCAAGTTGAGGTTGGAGAGTATCTTTGAACGTTGACAACAGAAATTTGGGGTCAAATTGTTCATTTAAGGCAAATTAACAAAAAAAATTTTGTAAAAAGAGAAAAAAAAAGACGAAAATGGACAACACGCACTACAGAATGCAATCTTCCGTCAAAATCAAGTTATTTACACATAATTAGAGGGTTTTCGACGGCAGAGCTGTAACGTCAAGCTGATTTTTTACCCAGTCATAACGAGTATAACATCGTAAACCGCTAAGATGTACACATTTTCATATTGCACTGACACGGTTTGTTCTTGAAGTTACTTGCAAATTCATTGTATTGGGACTAGACATTAATCGCGTCACGTACAGGGCACGAAAGCTATGAAGTCAATGTTACAGTGGATAAGAGTTTAAAGGAGTTCTGACGAAAGGCTCACAACAGTTGCACGTCAGCGGAAAACTTTTCCTGGGTACGCGGTCAACACAAAATCTTATCAGATTTTTGTGGTAAAAGGCCAAGTGTCATCCGGGATTATTAATTATATGCAAATGCTTTTTAAATTTCCTTCATAGCTTCTATTTTCGCATCTTCTTCTGCATTCGACTGTTCGCAAACACACCCTTGAGTTCAGTGTGAAAACAACCGACAAGGTGTGACCATGCCCAATGGCACTAGATTATCTAACTGGTGCCAATAATGTCTCGCTTGTGCTTCTCTTTTTTTCATAGATTTGGTTTCAGAGTTTAAATGCAGGTAAAAGTGACAGTGCAAAGTTCTGAAAGGATAGTATGTACGTGTCGATTTTAGCTCGCGAAAGGAAGTTTCACTAGGAACAACAAACAAACCAGAATATACTCGAACCTCTTAAAACCTATACATCACGAAACCTTGTGAAAATATATAGGCCACGGTAACGTTTGCTACTCATTGCACGAGATACTCGAGTATATGGCTCAGTTACTCAAAAACATGTTCATATGAAGTTTAGCAGTTATCATCCACGCAGGAATATTCTTCTCACTATTTCCTATACATATTTCATTGTGCTCATCAGGAGAATTTGTTTAACAATCAAGATCTGCGTAACTTGCACTTCCAGTATAATCATGACTTTTATGTTCAAATAAGCAAAAAAAAATAGTTGTTGCTCACTCTTAGCGGTGACATTGCGGCTGACTTGTACGCTATAGCAATTCCAAAGTTTAATACCAAAGTGGTATTTTTTAAAGTTGAAGGGCGGTGCGGCTCAATCAGTTCAGAAGAACGAAAAAACCGTCATCGTGCAAGCTTAAAATTCTTAAAAACCTCAGTACATAGACTATGGCTTAAACTACCCTTAAATCACCACAGTTTGGGTAGTTTTCTGATTTCAAAATTTCAAATCTAGCAACTTTTTAATGTCACTGCGACAAACAAACATGTTATTTCTCAAGCCGAGGCTAGGGACCTGTCCACACGTAACCGGATATTTTTGAAAACGGAGATTTTCAGTTTCCTCCGTGTCCGAAAAAATTCGCGTCCACACGTAGCGTATTGGAAACTTTTTGGCCCGTCCGCCAGGAAACGCTGAAACGATGGAAATACCATAGCAACCCTCACAGAGCATGCGTAATGCTAGTAGTAGTATTATGATGTATGACGTCATCATATTGGAAAACCTCCGTTTTCGTCCGCCTACACGTAGTCGAGAAGCCAGCGTTTTCAAAAATCTCTACTCTGGACAGCGTTTTAGAAAACATGGGTTTTCGGTGACCGTTTTCACCGGAAACGGGTAGACGGCAGGCCACTGAAGAAAACAATCTCCGTTTCATCACACAAAAGACGGATACGTGAGGGCAGGCGGGGCCTAAAAATCGAAGGCCAAGCTTTCCTCTGGTAGTAATGTTTTATGATTCATATTACGACAAAATGTCGCCTCTAATAGCCAAGTCTTTCGCAAGCTGCTACAGACAACGGTTGGAAAAATAAGTTCATCAAAAGAACCAATATTTTCCCCTTCGCGTGGGAAAAACGTGAAAATATATTGACCAGAATAGATGTTTACCATCACGAAACAAACCAGCGGAAATGCGGAAACACAAATAAACTAAAAATAGATAAACGTGAAAAACTGCACACTGATTTAGCAAAATTAATGAAGTCTTCAATTAATTTACAAAAGAAATTAACCTTGTTTCGTCTTTTTAGAGTTGCATGATCAAGGAATTTCTTTGAGTGGCAGCAATAGACGCCTTTTGTATTTAAATCCATTGAATACCAAATCAACCAAAGAGGCTACCGGCGCGGTTTCTCAAGCCATTAACCTTTCAACCAAGAGGGTATAAAATCCTACCCTACTTGAGCAAATGACCGAAATAGATATTAGCCTGACATATGAAAAAAGCTCATCTCCCATGAAAGGAACGAAAACAAAAAAATCTCCTCTGAACTTCGCTCACGGTACGCTAAGAATTTCGGTTAAATAGTGACTCACTGAGTTCACCTGCCTTCCAAAACAACTTTTGTTGTCATTTTGTTATGGAAATGGATACTGGAAAATGACAATTAACTAATAATTAATTAAAATATTGTTCTGTGAACAATCTATTCCCGTAACTGCGCATTGCGGCCAAAAAAAGCTTGCAGCAAAATTCCCGGTAAAATACACAACTACAACTACTCAAAAATACCCCCATGGCAATAATGTTTCTCATACTTTGGTAAAACTCAAATCTATAAAGTCGTTTTAAATAACGAGTCAAACAAATATTTCCTGGTTTTCAGAAGAAACGCAAGCACAACACTAGCGCAAGTATGACCATTGGAGCTGCGCCAAGTGAAAACGAGCGCTGACGCAAGAGAAACAACCACAAGCTTGAGCACAAGACAAGGAAAATTTTGATCTTCGTGCTTGAACTTGCGAATCTGCCTGCGGTAGTCTTTGTGTCGCTAATAAAATCAAGGCTTAAGCTAAAGCAAGCAACCTAAGGCCTGTTCAGGTCTTTGAGTTCTGTTCTGCAATGAATGGCTATACGGTTTTCAAAAAGGTCTGTGTTATGAATTATGCCTGAATTCCTATCACAGAAATTGCCCTTAGGGCAAGAAATCAATTACAAACCACCCTTAGCGCTTATATACTCAATATCTTAGAAAAACAGATTCTTTGGCAAAATCAGTTAACCATTCGCTGATCTCAACCTCGTAACGTCACGGCTGTAACTGTCCTGATAGCACCGAATCCTGCATGTTGAACGACAGATTCACCTGACTATAGGTTGATTTTCACATAGTACAGTATAATCTTAACAGAGCTGGCCATTTTCTGTCAGAAAGTAGCCCGGTTGTCCTATACTTTTCGTCCGCTACAAAATGAAAAAAAACTTGTCACAAATATTCATGTTTCAGGTACTTGAAATAGTATCCATTACCGACCAAGTGACTACGGAGACAGGTTTTTTCCTGAAGGATGTTTCATATGAAACATATCATCGCACATTCTAAGACGCTCGGAGTCAAAAATTGATATTTCTTTTTCGCTAACGGCTAGCGGTATAAACTGCTTTTTTTTGTTGAAACAAGTGGTTTTATTGATGACAACAATAAAACACGTCAAAATGTACTTCACGAAAAAACAAATGCTGGATATAGTGTCACCGGAATGGACTGAAAAGGTAACAAAGAAAACTACTTAAAGACTTCAAGAGAAAATGTATTAGTGGAGAAAAAATGACGGTTTTCACATCCGTTGAAACCGAAAAAAATCGTGTTAGCTCTAGAACAATGGGTAAGACTAATAGGCCACGTCCGAGTTCCAAAAACCCTCACTTTGAAAATGAGGCCAAGTGCACAACCTTTCTTGTGAAAATGAGATGTATTTGCATAAGAATGAAAAATCATCTCCATATCAAAGGCTGAACACTTAACCTCGTTTTGATACAGAGGCCCGGGGGAACTCGGAAATGGCCTATTCGGGACACATCTCTCATAAAAACAGAGAATTTAATTTACATTCCCTAAGTAAATTCGTAAACAAACTGATAGGAGCTGGACAAAAAATCCCCATTTCGCTTTGGAAGCCTAACAGAAAACTGTACACTTCACTCAAGAGAACTGCTGCAGAAACAGACGGCGAGCGCAGTTAGTATTGAAAGAGGTCGAGTAGGAAATAATATAAATATTTCACCATTGTTTACTAGGCAATTATCAGTGAATAATTACATCCCTTCCTGTCCATAGTTCTTTTTTCTTTTTTTGTTTCATAATCGCAAAATAATAAATTTAACAAGAAAGTCACGCTTCTAAAACCTCAAACCATCTGCAGTTAATAGTAGAAAGTCGCAGATTTGGAAATTCCAACTTCATTAGGTGAAAGGATATACGCTTTTTAAGACATAAATTATTTCTGCAAGAGCCCTAAGACCATAGTAGCTCATAGTAATTTTAACCTTTTTTTTCAGCCATGAAAACAAAAGGTTTTCCGCAAAACGCAGTGTGTAGGAAACCAGGGACGCGGCAATTTGTTCAATGGAATTTATCAAGTGGAATAATTACAATCAGAGCTTAGAATCTCTGACGGGATATTTTTAATGATCTTAAAAAATCGAATCAATTTTAATTTAAATTATGCGACATCTGATCAGCACTCACCTGAATCGACTTTTTCGATGGATCTAATGGGAAAAAAAGCAAACAGGCGTTGTATTTCATTGAAAATAAAATTCATACAATTGATGAAGGAAAAAAGCGATAAATCGTCACTGAGAGAAGGCGATTACTCGCAGGCAAAATCTAAACACGTATTGTAATTTGCACTGATGAATCGATACGGGAATACCGACAATGATTAATCTACTATAGATAAAATTATATTTAACATACCGAAGATAATACCATTTTTGTTCTGATTTTATTGTTGCGTGAATCAGGCATTTGCAACGACCTTGCGCTTAAATAATTTAAACTACACGCTTTTTCCTAGCAACTTATACGAAAAACATAAGAGCGCACTTCGAGCGGGAATTTATAGTGTGTATAAATAGAATCATATTTTCATCTTATAATAGTATCCATTGCTATTTTACTATAGAAGTTCTTGAAAAACCCCGAGCTCTCGACAACTCACTGGTGAAGAGTTTGAAGTTTTCGTTTTGAACCCCCTCGTGCGGTACTCTATCTGACGCAAATAAAATAAGGATACCTGATGAGATTTCAGGAACGGAAAGTCGAGACTGCAAGGTCCTCTGCCTCTCACTGCAGTCCGACGAACTTCGCTGTACAATGTCCTGAAACAAGATGAAGAACAAAACACAACAAGGAATGAATAATGATTTCACTGTAAGCTACTGTAAGCATCTCAAAGAATTCTGTCTGATTGCTTAATAATATACCTCGGTAGCCATGCTTCCTATTTCCGCTAGAGACCAACGTAAAACAAAAACTTCGAAGCAAACCCAAGATTGATAAAAGTACTGATATTGGTTGAGAAGGCCAACATGACCTCATCAAATTTCTGGCACTATATCATGGAATTTTTCCACACGTACAGAGAACGCGGTTACAAGTAAAAAAAAATTCAGAAGGAGCGAAGCGGGCACGCATAAAACAGCACAAACAGGTTTAAGTTCGGAAAAACGAAAATCATTTGCTTGAGTCAACACGAATCAGGAGGAACAAAGGACATTTAAGATTCTTTCGGCAACACGTCACGTTTCCTAAACAATGTAAGGTTACCTTGGATTGCGTGAGTTTTAAGTTATCCTTTCCGTGGGGTGCTGTTAGCATCTCCTTGAAAGCTGTGGGATGGGAAAAGAAAAAAGGGACTCAAATGCTAAGAAAAGTATTTTCCACAAGGGCCCGGTCGCTCGGGTACATCAAAGAGCCGTGGCTTTTAACTTCCGTTGCGGCACGTTATTCTCTGTTCAAACAAAGATTTCATTGAGATCAAACACTTTTGTTTGAACACGGAGTGTAAAAACAGGCATAATTACACCGCCGCTTTTCAAAGGAAACTACTGTGTTGAACTCTAATTGGTGGATTGCGTGACAATGTACTCGGGAGCTTCGAGAAAATTCAGTTTAGTATTGGAAATCGAAAATTATTTGTGGGTGTTACTTCGCTTTCGTGAGAAAACAGAACATTTCGCAAAGCAGAAACAAAGGAATGGACCCATTAGTGTTGGAAATATGGTTAAAAGCAACTAATGATTTTTCTAACACGAAGGATCAACTCCAGGAATACGTCGCAAGTATTTGCGTTGAAATCAAAGAATAAGAAAAAACGTTGCATCAGCTGCGTTCATTTTGGGGGAGGGGGGTGGGGGAAGTTGAAAGAGGCTTAACTGTTTGCAGGGTAACATGTTATGTCAAAAAGGGTTGATGGCTCCCGCAGCAACATAACCTGTGATCAGGCGTTATTTTTTAACAAAAAGGGAAGAAGGAGCGCCTGATCCCAGGTTAGCAGCAACGAGTTCCACAGTCATGCGCAGAATGAAAAAGCTACATTTCGGAAGGTCCAGAATAATGCGGAATGTGCTAGCACCACTACCATGGACTTTTATACTTTAATTCTGTCCAGCAGGTCAGCTATAGTCACTACTTCAACACTGTCCGAAGACATGTCAGCGAAAAACAGTGAGACAAAAATTTTTGGATTTCCTCTTACTGTCGAGACAGTTATACTGTGTACTCTTATGGGTGAAACTCAAATTGTTGAACGACTGACTTCAGGAGCAGCGAAGATCACTCGCTTGTCTCCGGGTTGGTACAACGTTGGCACTAATATTGACAAAGACTACAAACGTACGCAATTTGAAGGACACGTGGGGGAGGGGGGGATGGTTAGTTTGTTGGTTTCTAAAGAAACTGCGACCTTTGATGGCCAAGAGTAATTGCGCTGCAATTTCTCAGTGAACAAAAGATAATCTAATTACTATGTCAGCTACAACACTGAACAAGCTATTCACAAACCTGGCATATTTCGTTTAACTAAAAAAGACACATGGGTTGCACTTGAAAGGACTTCTCTGGCCTAAAATACAAATTAAAAATGATTCTTCAGTTCCGTCTTCAGGGGAAGGTTGGGGCCAAAATGGTATCAACTCACAACAGCCCTACTAGGAAAAAGGCGACAGGAATAAACACGTTATTTAAGTGACACTAAGAGAATGATTTGAGTGATAACTGGCAACTTTACGCACGCACTGGTCTTAAAAAGGATGCGAAATTCAAATACTGTACAAGGCGTAGCCGAGTGCATTATGAGGAACAGTCCTGCATAATGCGTTTATTACCCGGAAAATACGAACAAGAAGTATCAAACGCTTTTAATAGTCAAACTTAGTGATTTACACGGCCGAAAACAACGTAAATATATCAAAGTAAGCTTTAAAAGAAAAATAAAAAAGTAATTGCGCTTCAAAGTTCACAAAACGTTTGCTGGGTGGGAGGGATAGAAGTCATTATCGCGTGGAAACAGAGAGTTGTGGGCCAGTAACTCACGCCAGTAAGCCAAAGGGCTCTTACTGTTAGCGGATGTTGTAAGACTTACACTTGCGTAGGCGAGGTAAACAAGGAAGCTGGAAATTTTTTAGCAATCTTTAATGACAAAAAAATGTCGAAAATCTTGCGGTCTATTCGTGTGTGACGAACGCTATAATCCGATCACTTTAATCGCGTCTAATTAATTTTAACACGATAGTGACAACTAAAAGCTAATGGGACCGCGTCTTTGAATATCAAAAACTATAAAAATGGTTTTAGTGGAAAACACACTGAAACATCACATCTGATTGGTTCGTATGACACTTAACTATTTAGCTGGAAAGTTCTGTCTGGACCCTTACTTATTTATGAAACGATTTCCAGCATAAAATGGGGGTTTACTGCCATAAAAAGGAAACTTATGACAGAGAGCACCTGCCAATAGCGGCTGTCTTAGGCCCTCTCCACAATACTGCGTTTTCAAAAGTATGCGTTTTCGTTGTCATGGAAAATGCATCGACCGCTTCGCGTCCACACTACCGTTTTGATGCGTTTTGGACTATCCACCTTCGAAAACGATAGAATCGCAGGTTGTCAAGGTGACGTAAGTTGAACTTACAAACACACGCGCCTACGATATTTTCGGTCATCGTTTTCATTTTGATGCGTTTTTCGACCGTTTTCGACTGTGCACACTAATACAATGTGTATGCGTTTTCGTTTTGATCCACTTTCAAGAGCGTTTTCAAATCGATGCGTCTTCGATGAAAATGCTCAGCGTATTAGTGTGGATAGAAGGCCTAAGCGCATCGAAATGTATGCATTTTTAAACAAAAACGCATTAGTGTGGAAGGGGCCATAAGTGCCTTTAAAAGCTTACGTCCGATTTTGATCTTATTTAAGTGCGTTATATAAGCGTCATACGCGTGACTCCCACACGTAACTGAGACGATCATTGAATTCCTGCGCTGACGACTTGAGCTAAAACATACCTTTACGTATGTAATATTTTCAAAGTTGGTCCCGTTCACTTCAAGTATCTGAAAGATAAATCGTCATTTTAAACAAGGTTCGACTAAACTTCAACGGAAAAACTGTAAGTACAAACTACTAGCACGTAGGACAAAAGATAATTAACACAAACCCGATCTCCTCGTCTGAGACCCACTTCGGCCGCCTTCGAATCCTCTTCAACCTAAGAATACATTACAATAAAGTCAACGTGTTATTTTTACCAGTCGTTAATTAGAGTTGAGCGGCGCGACCAGCATCATTGTGTAGTTAGTTTGTATCGCTTGATATCCATCGTCTAAAATAATTAACAATATTGGATGAGGTTAACTATCATCTGAAGAATTATGGAGATCGAGGAGGGTGTTATTCACCGAGGCCGATTAGGCCGGCCGAGGAGGATAACACCTTGCACCCTACCGATCTTAGCCCCTATCTATGAAGCAGTAAGAACAGCTAAAGACAAACAGATAATATACCTATTATTTCAACTTCGTAATATCACAGTATCATTTTTCTTACCTTCGATATAAAAATTCCAAAACCAGACTCTTTACCGCCGGCAATTGTAAAACCAAGGGGCATATCTCTAGAGGAACGATCCTTAGAAACAACATGTAAAGAGTCATGGAAATGACATAGGTAACATTTTAAGCGCACAAAATTGAGTCTGAGTATTGCGCGCGAGGGATCAGTGGCCAGTCTTGGGTTTTAAATTGTAATCGTTAAATCATTCGCACCTTTTCATGGTCAGCATCGCCGTGTTTTCTTGGTTTTGAGAAATTTAATTTCAGTTGCTCAATTAGCGTGCTTTTGTTAGTTTTGTTCTGTTCAAGGAAACACCATAGCTCACCCAACCCCTCCCCCCTGCACTGTGTCATACAGGTAACATATATTTGCACTATCAACACTCCAGCCTGTCATTACAGCCGCTGCTCAGAGGTCACTGACTATTCACGTCGTTAGCGCAGAAAAGGCAGCTGCATTCTCAGGATAAGAGATTGCCGGGTGAACAAAACAGGGCAGAATATACTTACCATTGTTATACGACGTGCCTTTGCCTTGGCTGCGCAAGCGATATTTAGCAGACCAAGCTGACCACTCATTTGCTGATTGTACGAAAAGGAAAGAGAAACATTAGTCTCTTATGCCTGGTTCTCTTAGGCTGCTGACCTGACTAGGAAAGACCTCCGTTACTGCTTGATATACTGCTCCGACAAATGGGAACACACTCCTCTGGGAGCGAGAACAATCGCAGGTCTTTAGCGCCGGCACACCTACGAAGTTGAACTGAAGTGAACTTCACCGGCGCCTCGGCAGAAAAGTGGGATACCCATTGTTGCCGGCAACTTCTGTTCTCAAATCGAAACAGTATCTCAAGCATTACAGGCTGTTATGTCGCAGGTATCCTTTAAAAGCTTACGTCCGATTTTGATCTTATTTAAGTGCGTTATATAAGCGTCATACGCGTGACTCCCACACGTAACTGAGACGATCATTGAATTCCTGCGCTGACGACTTGAGCTAAAACATACCTTTGCGTATGTAATATTTTCAAAGTTGGTTCCGTTCACTTCAAGTATCTGAAAGATAAATCGTCATTTTAAACACGGTTCGACTAAACTTCAACGGAAAAACTATAAGTACAAACTACTAGCACGGAGGACAAAAGATAATTAACACAAACCCGATCTCCTCGTCTGAGACCCACTTCGGCCCCCTTCGAATCCTCTTCAACCTAAGAATACATTACAATAAAGTTAACGTGTTATTTTAACCAGTCGTTAATTAGAGTTGAGCGGCGCGACCAGCATCATTGTGTAGTTAGTTTGTATCGCTTGATATCCGTCGTCTAAAATAATTAACAATATTGGATGAGGTTAACTATCATCTGAAGAATTATGGAGATCGAGGAGGGTGTTAGGATAACACCTTGCACCCTACCGATCTTAGCCCCTATCTATGAAGCCACAAGAACAGCTAAAGACAAACAGATAATATACCTATTATTTCAACTTCGTAATATAACAGTATCATTTTTCTTACCTTCGATATAAAAATTCCAAAACCAGACTCTTTACCGCCGGCAATTGTAAAACCAAGGGGCATATCTCTAGAGGAACGATCCTAAGAAACAACATGTAAAGAGTCATGGAAATGACATAGGTAACATTTTGAGCGCACAAAATTGAGTCTGAATATTGCGCGCGAGGGATCAGTGGCCAGTCTTGGGTTTTAAATTGTAATCGTTAAATCATTCGCACCTTTTCATGGTCAGCATCGCCGTGTTTTCTTGGTTTTGAGAAATTTAATTTCAGTTGCTCCATTAGCGTGCTTTTGTTAGTTTTGTTCTGTTCAAGGAAACACCATAGCTCACCCAACCCCTTCCCCCTGCACTGTGTCATACAGTTAACATGTATTTGCAATATTAACACTCCAGCCTGTCATTACAGCCGCTGCTCAGAGGTCACTGACTATTCACGTCGTTAGCGCAGAAAAGGCAGCTGCATTCTCAGGATAAGAGATTGCCGGGTGAACAAAACAGGGCAGAATATACTTACCATTGTTATACGACGTGCCTTTGCCTTGGCTGCGCAAGCGATATTTAGCAGACCAAGCTGACCACTCATTTGCTGATTGTACGAAAAGGAAAGAGAAACATTAGTCTCTTATGCCTGGTTCTCTTAGGCTGCTGACCTGACTAGGAAAGACCTCCGTTACTGCTTGATATACTGCTCCGACAAATGGGAACACACTCCTCTGGGAGCGAGAACAATCGCAGGTCTTTAGCGCCGGCACACCTACGAAGTTGAACTGAAGTGAACTTCACCGGCGCCTCGGCAGAAAAGTGGGATACCCATTGTTGCCGGCAACTTCTGTTCTCAAATCGAAACAGTATCTCAAGCATTACAGGCTGTTATGTCGCAGGTAGACATGTTACATATGAGAAAGAGGTTTTCCCAGAGTTTACACAGAGTTTTCAAGAGTTAACACAGTAATTATTTGAGCCTTCAAAAAACGCTCCAAACAAAAAGAGGGTATAGTTACGAGAAAAAAACAACAACAAAAAAAACTAGCTTGTTAGTGACTGTTCAGGGGTGAATTATTCAGTTCTCAACAACGCGTCAGAAAGTGAGTATTAACCATCACCCGTGACTCGAAGCCGACCACTGATGTTCTGTAGTCAAACATTTCTTTGTATATCTACATCTTGAAACTTTCAAAAGATCAAGTCGTGATGCTATAGAAGTTTATTATACCAAACTTGATGACCGACAAAATTTAACCGACCCAAACAACTCTCAAAACTTAAGAAAGTAAAGAAAAAAGTGGTAAGATAAGTGGTCAGTGCTTATACCTGCTGCTCAAGGCCCTTTTCAAACGTCTCGAGGTAGCCCTCCATCACCGGGTCCCCTTCAAAGTCGCCATAGTGATTATTGACCCATAGGAGCATTGCACGCGTTACCTGGCAAAACAGAGTCAAAAAAATTTAACCTTGCCTATTTTACCAACAAAATAAACCTCCTCACTCCCAGATTGAAACAAAAAGATATGAAACGGGAGTCTAACTTTTGAGTCTAAAATCCTACGGCCTTAACATTCAAGTGAAACCTCTTCAGAGCTACTTTCACATGGTAATATTAATTATCTAGTACGTAGTTCTAACTTTTAAGTCTGTAAATAAAACCCTTTTGTATTACCATTCATACGAGAGTGTCAATTTCGCGTTTTAAAGTGTCATAGAGAATTTGATTGCTTCATTTACGAGATGAAGTTGTTGATCAATGAATTCAGGCCTAATCTAAATGTGCAGAGTGATCCATCAATGTGAAACTCTTTGTTTATCTCGCAAAATATTTTAATACATTACTATTCTTTTTAATGATCTATTGTTTTTTCATGTACTTATAGACAATGTATAAGCTATTTTCTTTTGACTTGATAATGACGTCCAAGAACGTCGAAACTTTGTCACGTTTTTCAAAATTTCTTAAAATGATTTAAAGTTATATCTTATCGCAGTTTTTTTATAGTAAAAATGCCTTTAAAAATCGGGTCTTTTAATAATGAAATATAAGATTTGAGGCACTCTATCGGCGATCATCGAGTAGTACTTCCTCAGGTGGCGTTTCGAACTCTCCTGAGGATATTTAGTCTAATTTTGTAAAAATCTGTGAAGCGATCAAACATCTCTATCTAAGGTCGTCGTGCATGTGAGCTTTGTTCAAAGAGGGAGGTCGGGGCAAGAGAACAAGTGGAGGCATCAAGAGTGTTAAGCCACAAGACACTGTTGGGAACGCTAATGATGGGGCAGTGTTCAATGAGGTGGTTTGCATTATGGGGAGGAGCAACGCGGGAAGTTCCCAGGAGTTACCGCACCAATGATAAGATGGCCTGCGCCACAGACGGAGTTTAATTTCTGGTGAAGTCCGTCTGCGAAACAGCGCCGAAATCCCTGTTCTAGGCCACCACCTGTGTACCGCAGGATTTGAGTACGCGCCATGATTGGCCAATCAGGTTAAAGGGAAATTCCAAATGCAATTCCATCAATTCGTCGAATCCGTTGGGGACCGGCCGGTCCAGAACAAGCATATCAGAGCTGCTTCGCAGACGTTGCTAAACGGTTGGATTACGTCCACGACGCAGGCTAATGGTATGCAGGAAGGTAAAGAGTAAGGCTGAAAAAAACAGATTCTTCGTAGTCTTACCTTGTCTCTAAACCGCCTTTCAAGAAACCAATTCAGTAACTGGCTGCATATTTCTGAGGGCCGATCTAAGAAGGTCTTGAATGTTAAAAGAAGATCCTCCACGAACGTAGGATCGATAGCCGAATGCTCCTCGACCACGTGACTTATAAGCTTCTGAGGTGTGGCCTAATACGATAACAAGAAAAAGAGAAACGAAAACTTGGGTATTTAGCTTTACTGAATAAGCTTGGTGGGCCTAATTTGCACAATAAGGTTACGTACTGAAGGATTCTGGAAGATTCTGGTGGATTCTAATCTAGGGGGATTCTGGGAACATTTCTCGAAAGTCCCGTTAACCCTTTAAGTCCCAATATCCACATACAAATTCTCCAAACTGATCTCCATACATTTTCTTTAAGAATCAGTTGAGAGAATTTAATAACAGATCACGGTATTTTCTCTTTGGTGATCATTTGTAAATTCTCATAACTGTATCTCTTGACAATTACTGGATATTGTTAGGAGAAAATTGATGTTGGTCACTATCGGCACTTAAAGGAATAATGAACTGGCTCTAAAGCTGTTAATGCTCAGATTCAGGATCGAATTTTCAATAGTTTTGCGGCAGATACTTTGATAAAACTATCAGTTAACAAAACAAAAAGGACTAGTTTGTTAGCTAGGACCAGCGATTTTATTCTTCAGATTTTGATTTGAATATTACACTTCGGGCCAGTAAAGATTCCGGGACTTCGAGAAAGGCCCGGGAATTTTTCGGCTCCGAAGGCAAATTATGAAATCAAGAACTGTTAAATAGTAGTACAGTTCCTAGCTCACAAACCGGTCAATTTTGCTTCGTTAACTGATACTTTTATCGTATCATTTTCAATATTGTTGAAACTTTGATCTTGAATGCAAACACGACAAACATAAAACAGCTTTTCGAGCCCGAAAAGTTATCAAGAAACGAGCCCAAGGCCCGAATTCATGCGGGCTTCTGAAGCCGGCATGAGAGGGGCCTTCTGAACACCACTGTGCTTTATCCTTGATAACGTCATTAGTATCCCAGGGAATTACCTTAATGACCACCTGGCCCTGCCTGCTGCCCCCGTCAGTTTTCCTAAACTCGGTCACCATGACAACCTGGCCACCCTCCTCGATACACTGAATGCTCCTCTCGCCCTGGGTCAGGATTCTGTAGTAATCCGCTTGCGCCACGCACACAAACTGGAATAAACACGGAGTGAGATAACAACTTGACGCGCACTGTTTCTTGACAAGCCTTTCAATTTCACAGTTACTCTCCGAGTGTGGATTTTGAGTCAATGGCTGAAAGCCTTGAGTAAAGGGTTATTTAAATAGTGCTGAGAAGATTCAAATTATTTCAGTCTTCTTGTTGTCCATGTAAGGCATAATAGCACTTAATGCCGAGGTATCGATATAAAACATTGTTCCATATATGAATAGTCCTGTCTCATGAACATTATAACGTTTGTCATTTTTATTCACAGAGCGTGCACGATGAGAATTCGAAATGTCTTTTTCAATCAACATTTGAATAGGAAAAAGCACGTTTAAGAAATGTTGTTGTTTCAGTTTTGAACTGGGACGGAATTATCTATGAACAGGTTACTGGCACAAGAGGACAAGGTACTTAAAGCAGCGCTTTGTCCGTGCGGTAGTGAAGCAAGTCATGAATCTCCCTCCACGTAGCAGCCACGCACCTCTTTAAAAGTTAAACCTTTAATTCTATTGGACTCCTTTGAGTCGCAGCTCTTTTGTGTTGGGGCTAGGTTCCATTGTTATGTTTGTTCGTTCATTGTTTTTCCGATTAATCCGGTGAGGCCTTGTTACAGCTGCGAGGCATCTCTGATAAATCACGGTATATCCCCGAGGCTTATGAGTAGTAAGGACATGATCAAGAATAATGAATTCGCTTGATCCGTTTACAACTTCTTCCCCTCTACAACTTTAAGAATCACAAAGGGAAAAAAAGGAGAATTTATATTTGAATCTACTGAAATTCCTCACCTGACAATCATCGACCCGTGTCTTCATGATGCCTTTATGACGCATCTTTTTAAGCGTTGGTTCCACTCCAAAACTATCTCCAAGATGCAGAGTGAGTGGTTCCTCTCCATCAACTAGAATTTCTACGGAACCATTGAGAATTACACACCAGGAGTCCAGCTGAAAATACACGTTCGAAAAATACACTTTATTACTTACTAAAGCCAAGATGCAATTCAATCATTCTTCGGATAATTCAATACCAGAATTTTCTTTGTTCTTTAAAATATAACAACTTTTTAAATTCTCCCCTGACTTGGAAAAGACGGAAGCATCTCGTCAATACCAGCTAGGCCGAACATAGGGGGAGAGGGGAGGGGAGGAAAAGAAAAGCGCGAAAGAGAAAACCCTTCTTTACCCTCCCTTGTTGACTTCTGCCGGGCAGGCTACATATTATTCAGCGTTCTCGACAATTTTCAAAGCATGTCATTTGGGGTTCAAATAATGATCTCTTAAGGGTTCAGAAAGTTAAATGGGATAGAATCAACGTGAGGGCCAGCGAAAACAAGGCAAAAGTGGAGACAGAGAACTCATGCTCGCTCACGAAGTTTGAACGCTATCTTGTTCAATGGACCTATCACGAGACGCTTTTGCCATAAGATGGGAATACGCCCTTGCCATATTAGGTAATACCAATGAAGAAAGAACTTTTTCGTATCTATCAACCATTCTGCTACTTGATTTGAAATTTTAACATCCTCACTCACAGTCCTCGAACGACTCGTTTGAATACTGGAACAACCGCTGCTACCTAATGGTAGTTTTACGAAAGCACAAAAAAATCCAGAATCAAAGCCTACCTCCTCTTCATTTTCCATGACTATAGAGCCTGCTTTGTCCACAACAGCAAACACCATAACGGCACACAGCTCTTGTCTTACATTCATGGTCATATTTGCAAAAGCCTGGTTAGGGTTAGACATTTAAAAAAAATTAACATCCTCGTTCCCCGGTTTCTCNCGAGGTATCGATATAAAACATTTTTCCATATATGAATAGTCCTGTCTCATGAACATTATAACGTTTGTCATTTTTATTCACAGTGCGTGCGCGATGAGAATTCGAAATGTCTTTTTCAATCAACATTTGAATAGGAAAAAGCACGTTTAAGAAATGTTGTTGTTTCAGTTTTGAACTGGGACGGAATTATCTATGAACAGGTTACTGGCACAAGAGGACAAGGTACTTAAAGCAGCGCTTTGTCCGTGCGGTAGTGAAGCAAGTCATGAATCTCCCTCCTCGTAGCAGCCACGCACCTCTTTAAACGTTAAACCTTTAATTCTATTGGACTCCTTTGAGTCGCAGCTCTTTTGTGTTGGGGCTAGGTTCCATTGTTATGTTTGTTCGTTCATTGTTTTTCCGATTAATCCGGTGAGGCCTTGTTACAGCTGCGAGGCATCTCTGATAAATCACGGTATATCCCCGAGGCTTATGAGTAGTAAGGACATGATCAAGAATAATGAATTCGCTTGATCCGTTTACAACTTCTTCCCCTCTACAACTTTAAGAATCACAAAGGGAAAAAAAGGAGAATTTATATTTGAATCTACTGAGATTCCTCACCTGACAATCATCGACCCGTGTCTTCATGATGCCTTTATGACGCATCTTTTTAAGCGTTGGTTCCACTCCAAAACTATCTCCAAGATGCAGAGTGAGTGGTTCCTCTCCATCAACTAGAATTTCTACGGAACCATTGAGAATTACACACCAGGAGTCCAGCTGAAAATACACGTTCGAAAAATACACTTTATTACTTACTAAAGCCAAGATGCAATTCAATCATTCTTCGGATAATTCAATACCAGAATTTTCTTTGTTCTTTAAAATATAACAACTTTTTAAATTCTCCCCTGACTTGGAAAAGACGGAAGCATCTCGTCAATACCAGCTAGGCCGAACATAGGGGGAGAGGGGAGGGGAGGAAAAGAAAAGCGCGAAAGAGAAAACCCTTCTTTACCCTCCCTTGTTGACTTCTGCCGGGCAGGCTACATATTATTCAGCGTTCTCGACAATTTTCAAAGCATGTCATTTGGGGTTCAAATAATGATCTCTTAAGGGTTCAGAAAGTTAAATGGGATAGAATCAACGTGAGGGCCAGCGAAAACAAGGCAAAAGTGGAGACAGAGAACTCATGCTCGCTCACGAAGTTTGAACGCTATCTTGTTCAATGGACCTATCACGAGACGCTTTTTGCCATAAGATGGGAATACGCCCTTGCCATATTAGGTAATACCAATGAAGAAAGAACTTTTTCGTATCTATCAACCATTCTGCTACTTGATTTGAAATTTTAACATCCTCACTCACAGTCCTCGAACGACTCGTTTGAATACTGGAACAACCGCTGCTACCTAATGGTAGTTTTACGAAAGCACAAAAAAATCCAGAATCAAAGCCTACCTCCTCTTCATTTTCCATGACTATAGAGCCTGCTTTGTCCACAACAGCAAACACCATAACGGCACACAGCTCTTGTCTTACATTCATGGTCATATTTGCAAAAGCCTGGTTAGGGTTAGACATTTAAAAAAAATTAACATCCTCGTTCCCCGGTTTCTCTCTCGCTCCTGGGGACGGTAGGAGAGATAGACTGGGAACGACGTTAAACACAAGATACAAATCCATCTCTTTTTCCCTGCAAGAACTCTGCTGAAATATGTTCCTCTTAATTTATTTTACACGATCGAACTTCCATGATAAACGTTACAGTCTCTTCGGACAGTAGTGAAAATAACTCTTCCTTGGGATTTTGAGCAATTTGATCACTTACTATGGCATTTTTTTTTTAATTACTGAAAACTGCCAATCGCATTAGTATGACCTGTCAAAAGTAACTTCTAAAGAAAGTAAAAAAAGTCTACAGCCTTGACTCGGAGCTCTACGATTCTTGACCATTTACTTATTCAGCTTTCTTTTTTCTTTTTTTTTTTGTTTTGTTTTGTTTTGTTTTGGAAAGACGTAAGGGACACTCGCACAGTTTTTAGAGAATCTTTAATAGAGTACTAAAGTAATGACGTCATAAAAGTGAAATTTCTGAAATTATGGGATTTCTCAGGATATTCTGAAAGAACAATGTCCAAGAGGCCTACTTGCCAAAAATGAGCAATTGGAGGCAAATTGTCTCTGAGATCGTAGCCCAGTTATACTCAGAAAACTCCATACAAACCCTTCTAATTTTTTTGGGGTCGACCCAAAAAAAATTTAGAAGGGTTTGTATGGAGTTTTGTAAGCATAACTGGGCTACGATCTCAGAGACAATTTGCCCCCAACTGCTTTTTTTTGGCAAGTAGGCCTCTTGGACATTGTTCTTTCAGAATATCCTGACAAATCCCATAATTTCAGAAATTTCATTTTTATGACGTCACACTTTAGTACTCTATACGCACTTTGCATTAAATTAAGTCGTTTTCTTCAAGGCAATATATTTGGATCGCAACTTAGGAAAAAGACCTAAATCAACCTCGTTGGACCCAAATGATGGACAATCCAGAAAATCAGGTTTGCAAAAGCGATCAAATTTCTGGGCTCAGTTTTTAACTTGCTGTTGTACTTTACAGTTACAAAACTTACTGGCAGATGTTGCATGAAGTCCAGCAACGCCTCTGCAAGAAATAAGTTCTAAATCAGTATTTTATCAGCTTGGAAACGTTATAAACGTTTAAAAAGAGATACTAATACAGTAATTATTCAGGACAAAAAAACTCACGTATATCACTTTCCGTGCGATCCGCCGGTTCTTTCTCCAGACAGTCTCGCACAACATCTCGCACCAGTAAAGACTGCAAACAATTCAGATTGAGATAATCGTTCATGTCTTAACGTAAAATACTAATTAGCCGCGGATGGCCACCCTGAGCTAGAGTTCAAAGAGTTATTGAACAAAGCGGGCTGAAGGACACAGCTAAGTGACAAGACTGGCAAAAATGGCAGACACTTGATGAAGGCTTTGTGGAAGAATGATATGAAAACCTCTCCCTCGAACCTCAAGATATTCACAAAACTGGCAACGCAGATTTACCGACTGTATGGATGCAACCGTAGTACAACAATAAGCTTCAAACCCAAATCAAAGTCTAAATCAAAGTTTTGTCGGTAGATGTGGTGTCGTGCACGTTGCTGTTGTTGTTTTTGTTTTGTTTTTTAATGCGTTAAGGCATTTAAGACAAACACGTACACCCGATGTAAAGAAAAAAATAATTATTATTTTATTATGATTTACCAGTGACAAAAAAGGGAAAACAGTAACTACCTCGCGTGAAGAAAGCGATTCTTCTTCCTCATCTTCCTCATCGGAATCAACTAAAAGAGGAACCAAACGATGTTGGTAACTACAAGCTCGCTTGAACTTCCAAATTGTCCTTCCCTGTCGTAAGGTTTATTATTCTTAGAATTTTACATAGGGTTTTCTTTATTTCTACTTTCATTACTCTTGACAAAGCCAGTCTCTAGGAGCGTTTCCTGGATAAATTTTTTTCAAAAAATCAGAGTCTGTTTGATAATGGCATACAGTCGACTCTCACTAATTCGAACCTTCAAGGGAAATAGAAAAAAGTTCGAGTTATCGGGAGGTCGAGTTGTTGAGGGTAAAATTATATAGAAAATGACCTGAAGGGGAATGAAAATTGCTTCGAGTTAGGGGGAGGTTCGAATTATAGAGGGTTCGAGTTACCGAGAGTTGGCTGTAGTTTTCAGCGGCTGGGGCGTTTCACCTGGATTTGTACTCTTAAAGTTACGTTCACAATTTACCAGATAGCTTATTGTGGTGCCACGATAAGCTATCCGGTATGGCGGGAACAGCAACGGCCCGGGGGGCACAAGTCGTCCACGCACATCCAACATCGTGCAGGGGCGGTTAGCCGAGAGGGTTTCGTGCACTTAATTCCCGTTTCTACTCCTGAATATGTTCTTCCATCTCAGTGAGTTCCAGTCGTCGCTCCTACTTAAATTTACTTCGGCGACAGGCCAAATAGATATTCATACCGCACCAAAGTATAGCACAAAACCTAGTATCCGATATGTAACGTTCCTCTTTCAAGATTGCGGGCGCGGCACCTCATCGCCCCGTTACAGAAATCGCGCGGCCACAATCGTTCTTGTGTGTGAACAGAAGCCCAAACCGGTATGATTTTCATGGCGCAGCAAAAGCTATCCGGCATAGTGTGAACATAGCTTTAACCCCTTCACTGCCAAATGTGGCCAAAAGCAAAATTCAATAGAAAATCCGAAGTTTCATTTTGTAAAATTTTGAAAAACAAGTAGCACCATGTGAAAGTACAGATTGAGAGGTTTCATTTGAATGGTCACACCATAGGAGTTCGTGCACAGACTCAAAAGTTAGAGCTACCTTACAAAACTCCATTATTCACTATGGCAGTGAAAGGGTTAAAAACTAAAGAATTAACCATACCGACTATTTTCTCGCGCAACATTAAAGCCAAAAGGGATCTGGAACTTCCAGGTACCTTGTACACAAAATACCCGGCAACAGAGCTTTCTGGGTTTTTTTTAGATAGAAGAATTTTTAAGAAAGGAGGTTTGATTGAAGTAAGTGCTTTACAAAATTAATATCCTACCAATACTTTCCACGAGACCTGTCAGATCCAACTCAAGGTTGTTCGTGGAAGAGGAATCCTCCACAGATGCACTTCTTTGCATGTTTTTATCGCTTCGTAAAATTATTTCTTTAACATGCTGTAGTTCCATAGGCAACTGTTAACAAAAGGATATAGTTATTTAGAATGTCTTTTATACTGTTTTTCAATGTTAATAATAGATTCTTGTCGACCTCTTTTAATCAGGCAAAACCACACCCCAAATAGACTGCAAAACAGCCCGTATTTTCGCCCAGGTTAAGAAGGCGTGCGCGAGCGGTCGATGGAAAGGTCTGGAGTGAGGGTGAAAACGGAGAGTATGACTGAGGTGGAACGCGAGAAATATATTTTTCTCTCGCCGTACTGGTCCTGTTGCAAAACCGAATTTAAGAAAAAAAAAACGACCATTTTGAAGACTGCACTCCAATAGGAAAGTAACCGTAACTAATGCATAATCTAATATTAATTTAACTAAGAATTTTTCCTAAATTTTATGCCTGTCACCTCCCACGCCCAAAGGCATGGCGACTACATTGTATACCCTTAATACAAACCAACTATTTTTTACAAAGCCTGGTCTAAAAAATTCTTGGTACTACAGCCTTACTGGCACATTTTTCAGTAAACTGTTTGACCTGGTCGTTTCTGTTATTGCCATAGTTACCAAAGCTCTCTCATGCAAAAAAGTTAAGGCAGGGGTAAGGTGTATTAACATTACTTGTTCATCATCTGGAATTGGCCCTCCTATCCTAAAATCTTGAGTTTCAAGAGCAAGCAGCCTCTCTAGGTCATTTTTGGAATAAGAGTGACGCTGANTGAGAGGTTTCATTTGAATGGTCACACCATAGGAGTTCGTGCACAGACTCAAAAGTTAGAGCTACCTTACAAAACTCCATTATTCACTATGGCAGTGAAAGGGTTAAAAACTAAAGAATTAACCATACCGACTATTTTCTCGCGCAACATTAAAGCCAAAAGGGATCTGGAACTTCCAGGTACCTTGTACACAAAATACCCGGCAACAGAGCTTTCTGGGTTTTTTTTAGATAGAAGAATTTTTAAGAAAGGAGGTTTGATTGAAGTAAGTGCTTTACAAAATTAATATCCTACCAATACTTTCCACGAGACCTGTCAGATCCAACTCAAGGTTGTTCGTGGAAGAGGAATCCTCCACAGATGCACTTCTTTGCATGTTTTTATCGCTTCGTAAAATTATTTCTTTAACATGCTGTAGTTCCATAGGCAACTGTTAACAAAAGGATATAGTTATTTAGAATGTCTTTTATACTGTTTTTCAATGTTAATAATAGATTCTTGTCGACCTCTTTTAATCAGGCAAAACCACACCCCAAATAGACTGCAAAACAGCCCGTATTTTCGCCCAGGTTAAGAAGGCGTGCGCGAGCGGTCGATGGAAAGGTCTGGAGTGAGGGTGAAAACGGAGAGTATGACTGAGGTGGAACGCGAGAAATATATTTTTCTCTCGCCGTACTGGTCCTGTTGCAAAACCGAATTTAAGAAAAAAAAAACGACCATTTTGAAGACTGCACTCCAATAGGAAAGTAACCGTAACTAATGCATAATCTAATATTAATTTAACTAAGAATTTTTCCTAAATTTTATGCCTGTCACCTCCCACGCCCAAAGGCATGGCGACTACATTGTATACCCTTAATACAAACCAACTATTTTTTACAAAGCCTGGTCTAAAAAATTCTTGGTACTACAGCCTTACTGGCACATTTTTCAGTAAACTGTTTGACCTGGTCGTTTCTGTTATTGCCATAGTTACCAAAGCTCTCTCATGCAAAAAAGTTAAGGCAGGGGTAAGGTGTATTAACATTACTTGTTCATCATCTGGAATTGGCCCTCCTATCCTAAAATCTTGAGTTTCAAGAGCAAGCAGCCTCTCTAGGTCATTTTTGGAATAAGAGTGACGCTGAAAAGGCTGAAACAGGTCTGAGTTTGGAAAATCAATCTGTAGAAAAAAAAGTTTGAAGTAATTTAGCCCATTACTATTGCCTTTATACACTAGGTTAATGAATATTACAGCCACAGTTAGTAGAGAAGATTGGTTACGAAAGGCAGCAAACAACAAAGATAATAACAACAGTACGTTCCATTAACAAGGTCTAATAAAGGTGAGAAGCGACAGGCAACAATCCTCTCTGAAAATAGTGAAAATGACATCTCTTTACTTTAATTTGCATTTTGGCTGTTTCTGCAGCGAAATAGCAAACTGTCTTCCGTTATTTCCAAACATTTTATGTTATTTTCTTTGGAGCGTTTTGTTATTATGGAATTCACGTTCACCACAAGGGAGAAAGGTCAATAACAATTAATAATTTCAAGGCACTTTTCAAGTTGACTACTATAAAAATTTATGCTGAACCAACATTTACATCCTAGGTAACCCACCAAGCCACAGGCAGTCTCAGAAAAGATCAACAAAGAGTTGGCATAAACCCCACCCCCAGCCCCCTTGTAAGGCCTCATGCCTCATTAACTATGTTGCTGCTGACCTCAAGGACCCACTCAAAAACAAAACTAGTACAGACACCAAAGACTCCAAAGGGACAACTCTATTGTTTGGTATCTTTGAGACCAAGTAAACTTTCCACAGGAGGAGAATTGAAACTATTTTGCCCTTGTAACAAGTACATTTAGAGCTCTTACCACAATCATTTCTGAGTATTCCAACACCAAGCAGTCAGTTCCTCGTTTGCCATTAGCACCAAGTGGCTGCTTGCCAAAGCTACAAGACATGCAAGCTTCAAATAAATAAAGGAGTTTCTCAAAAGCACTTCTGGCTAAAACACTGTTGCTCAGTCCGTTATTAGGATTCAAAGGGTTTCATCTCTGGATGTCTTTTACTTAGTGACAGCGAAGGGTGAAAGCATTCATAATATAATATTATTTCTTTACTGATACCTGCTCCCTGGAAGATACATGCAGCCATCAAGAAAGACACAACCAGACAACAAAATGTACCAGCAATTTGCTAAGTCATCTTCCCTAAAAAGCATTTTTGAAAAAGTGTAAAAAAAATAATATTAATTAAATAATTCTTCTCCCCAACAGCAATAAAATTATTGATATGGAGGGAGGAATGAAGTTTTGATCTAAATTCAAGAGCAGAGATTTGACCAGTAGCATAATAGCAAAAATAATAAGTAGTCACTTGTAATCGCAGCTAAGGTTAGGACCACTGATGAAGACAACTGAGGACAAGTGCCTTTAAAAAAGGTACTGTATAGGCTAGTGAGGTAATTCCCAGGGCAGTCATTGAGAGCCGAGGACTGGGATTTCCCCCGGTCATTGTAAATGTGAATCCTGCCTACTTTTGTAGGAAAATAGAAAAAAAATGGAACCAAACAAACTTTAGCTGGCTGATTCCCCACCCACTTGTATCATTTACCAGGCAACTTGAAAATGTAATGACAGCCCTGTATGCCAGAGGGTTTAAATGTAGGTGTACAAGTGTAACTAAAGGTTTAGCAACTTGAGCCCCACTCAAGACACACTCACACTTGCACCTACAAATCAACGCCCCCCTCCCTCCCTCCACCTTGATGACAGGGTTTTGCGAATAAAATGAAAATTTTACCCTGATTTACATAGAAAGGATTTCAATCAGTTTTAGCCAGTGTATTGTTAGGCTTGATTTAAACCTAATAAGCTATGTGTGACAATTTAATCTGAAAACTTACACGTAAAGTAAATAATTTGAGTCTTCAGCTACATATCGTGCAGTCTCAGACATTGTCCTGAAAAAAAATGTTGACAAATGAGGATTAGGGACATTTGAAATCATAACCATTAATAACTGACATATGAATTTGCTTAATGCTTTAGACACATTGCCACAGACAAAGAGAAAGAAATCTGACATGATAATTTAATCAGTTGAAAGGGAAGGTAAACAATGCTAAAGATGAGAAATTGAGGATAGATTTTTTGGTAACTAAGGAGCTTACAGACAAACCTGTAAGTCAACTGACTGATAAAAAATTGATCCCATCACTTGTTGCTTATATAGCAGATTCATTGCTGCATCAGTGGGTAATAAGTAGTGAATTTAATATTAAATAAAAAGTTATTAAGGCAGTTACAGAACAGTCTATAAAATTCTGCTGGTTCTGTTTCCTCGAATTTGATAAAACTGTTTTCATAGGAATTATCTCTTCAGATTTCTAAAAGATTTTTGAATCTAGCACTGAATCACTATGAAGCTGTTATCTAATCCAATGCTCATATCATGCAGGCAGATCTTGCACATGTGGGTTTGATGACTAGTAAGATAAGGACTTCCAGAACAATTTTCAAATACATGCTATAAATTCAGTAGTTGAATATACACGTATGGAAAAAGTTTGACCAAATTAACTGTTAAAAGAAGCAAATGTTTGCATACAATGTTACGAAGCAAAAATTATCAGTCCTGTTATCATATACACTGTACATACATTTTTACATGTTAACAGGTCTTAGATTTTCAACTTTCCTAGCTTTTACTATTTGCATTACTATTTTGACATTGTTTTAACACTATTTTAATATTTGATTTTTATCTTTTATTGGTGTCACCAACCCACTAGAGTTTCTTGACACATTAATAAAGTTCACTACTACTACTAAAACAGGCTAGTGACATCAAAACAGTTTAATCATACAAATAAATGAATAAATCTTAAAATTGCAATATTGCAATAATTAAAAACTACGAAAGAACAACTATTAACAAAATCTTTACAATAGTTCCTTTAAGGAAGTTTTAGTTATGATACATGTACAGTCTGTAGCTTCCAGGTTAAGGATTTCATCTTAATTAATAATAATTATTTAAAGTATTAATTATTAATTAATTTTATATACAATATTCACTCTATGTAAAAGTTATATATAAAAGAGTTTAATATATTTTTGAGTAGGTAGAGTGGTATGATGAAGCTAAATTTTTATGAGGTTTGCCAGTTTAAATTCATATGTATATGAGATCCACCACCATCAACATTGGAAAATCACAAACAAAAGAAGAAAGTATAAGCCCACCCTCAATTTCTGTGAGGAACTTAGCAAATTTGCAGACCTTCTGCTTTAGTGCTTTTTAGTGTTTTTAGAGACTATTTTAAAGTGTTTTAAGAGACCCTTTGTCTGGAGACACTTGGTGGTTAGACCATTGTTTTCAATTCTATTTCTACACCTTTCATCCATTAGCATCATTTTTACACTTTTACACACATATCTTTATGCCGCATACTTTCTCATCCCTGATAATGCTGTCGAGCTTGGATTTTTAGATTTTAAAATGGACAGCAGTTTAAAGCCTCATTTGATCATTTTAATTTTTAAAGAAAATTTAGTTTGAACTGAAACAGCTACTGCTGACTATAATGTCTATTGCTAGAATTGGGGAACTAATGAGAAGAAAATCCAAGCTGATTTGCTGGCATGTCTCACTAAAATAATATTATACATTTGTATTTGTATTTTAGGCCTTTTTGAGTGCCAAATCATGACTGATTGTTGTAGCTTTATTCTTTGGTCTACCAGACCACTCGGAATATAATGGCAGAGATGCCAACCTCTGGAGATCTAATAATTTAATCTGTCAAGCCAAAAAAAAGAAATTTCAAGGCTATCACTATGACTTCAAGTTGCTCTGTAGATGCAGTTTTTATTCGCCACTTGCATATTTCCCAAAATGCACCCTATTTATACCCGCCAACTCTCACGCCTTAAGCGTGAGTCTCACGCCTGCGGGTTGAAAACTTCGATCTCACGCCTGCTCACGCTTGCGGGCCAATTTCTCACGCCTGATTGAAAAATGTGAGTTGTTGCCGTCTTGCTTGACACAATTTCCAAAAATATGTTATCTCAGACCCATATAAGGACAAAAACCACGTGTAAAATGAATAAATGACAATACCTTCCTCGCGATCTCTGATTTTTGAAGTGAAAAGCACTGGGAGCGAGCTCGCGTTTATACGCGTCCTAAGACTGGGACTCCATAACTTCCCCTTCGGCAGACTTCTGACATCTTCAGAAGACTTCGGACGTCTTCAGAAGTCTTCGGACTTCTTCAGAAGACTTCGGACTTCTTCGGGAATCTTCGGAAATGATCGTGTTGTCTTCAAAAATCCCACCACTCCCAGGATGAAAGTCTCACGCTTATATCTCAGAAAAAGTTGGCAGGTATACCTGTTTGCGCCCCAAAATTTTGCTTAAGCTTTGTTTTCAATTTCTCTTGGGACGGCTGTAACACGCAAGAGAAATAAAAAGCAAAGGTTATGCAAAATTTCGGGGGCAAAAAAGGTGTATTATGGGAGATGTGCACGTGGCAAATTAATAGGCAAGGAATTGAACAGTTAGGAAGGTCCTTTAGTTCTATTGTCATTTTTTACCCTGTGAAAGAAACCATGGAACAAGTTCATGATACTCAGGGAATCCCCCGGACTCAGGCCCTAAGACATAGTGATAGCCTTGAATCTGAATTGTGACCCTATTTGGGAAAACCAGGCTTAACGAAAACTCCGTTGAACCGTTTTTCCATTTCAACGCATTTTGGAAACGTTCGAATGCATTACAGATCACTTTCAATGCATTTGAAAACATTGACAACATTCGCGAACGAAAACGAAATGCATTGAAGATCATTTTGAATTCATTTTGAATCATTTGCACCGCGTTTTAAAACGTTCACAATGCATTTCAGTGAAGCAGTATCGCATTGAAAAACATTCACAAAAGTGCAGACAACAACCCAACAGAACACAAGAACCTTGAATATGTCGGCGAAATCAATGAACATGCACTGTGTCCTAATCGAGCAGCAAATGCTCTAAAAAAATACTGAACTTTAGAAATCTACTTGATATTTTACAACTTTTAAATTTCCGAGATGTAGGGGCAGCCAATTTAGTTTTCACCGTGCAAAATTTAATCGTTAACTCTAGGCCGTTCACCTTTCGTGTCCGTGGCTTTTTCCACGTTAACCACGAAAACCATTAACAAGCAGCTAACGAGTGACATGCAGACATTCAAAGCATTGTCACGAACAAATGTTTGCGGTCCTTCTCTCCTTTCGACATTGTTCCCACGTATTGAATAAAAATTCATCATAAGTTGCTCTCAAACTGATTGCCAACAAGCCATCCGAGCGAAGACGCTCGGATGGCGTGGCAGCAGCAGAATAGAGCCGCGCAAGACTCGGCTGTAGGCAGAAAAATTCTTGATCGAGCTTCAAAAAGTGTAACCTCATGTAATGTAGATTCCCCTGAGACCAAGTGGTGTGACAGTTTCAGCAAATCAAAAGGCGGTAAACTATACTTGGCGCACGTGTATTCTTTCCTCGGCGGCACGCGAAGACTGAACTTGAATGTGGTACGCTTTTATTGTTTGTTCACCTAAATCTGGCCCCGGCAGTCAAGGAAAATGAAAACTTGATGCATTGTATTAATTTAAGGAGCCATTAATGTAAGGTTTTAACGAAGAGAAGCTTGTAAAACAACAGTGTAAACAAAGAAAAGTTTTCCATGTGAAACAAGCAATTCTCACCAATAAAAAGGATCAGATTACACGAGGAGATAAGAAAAGCTTGATACGAAGAATAAAGTCGCTTCTGTTGGAAAATCTGATGTTGGGGAAAAAATCTAACCAGCAAATGGAAACAAAGCCAAGAAAACAACGCTATTTTGTTCGAAAGCTGGCCGAGTTTATAATAAAGTGAAAACAAAATACCGACGTGCCGAACATCGCATGTCCTTGAAAACATTTCAAGCAGCGCAGCGAATCATTCTAAAAAAAAAGGGAACTCGAACGAACACCAGACACAGTGAGTCCACAGAACAATTTTTGCTTATTATCGCTGAAATTTCGACATTATATATTTCTGTAGTTCATTAGGTTGCTTTTTACTAGCTGTGCACAATTTGTTTGTTGGGGTGGCTAAACGATCAAACATTTGTTCGCAACGCGAAATGTTGGTTGAAAATATTTGACCAAGATCAAGCATGGAAAAGCCACTTAAATGCGTATGAGAGAGGCGGCTAAACAGTCAAAGATGCTCTTCCAAAACGATGTTGGATGAAACTATTTGATCGTTTAGCCGGGGCTTAATCTTTATGTTGACCGAACGCAGAGTTTATTTAACTTGTCACGTTGTCACTCCAAAGGTGAATTGAATATTATTATTTTCATTCTGATTTTACAATTTTCTAAACAAGCATTGTGAAGCGTTCCCAGTGCATTGCTAATGCATTGGAAATCATTTCAAGATCATTCTTGAACATTTAAGAACATTGGCGGTGTTTCATGAATGAATTGGGGAACATTGCAAATGCGTTGTGAATCGTTCTCCAGCGTTGTAATGCATTCTAAATGCATTTAAAATTCGTTGAAATGCATTTGAACGCGGTTTTCGTTAAGCCCGGTTTTCCCAAATAGGGTCACAATTAAATGGTGCATTTTTTTTCCTTTGGCTACTATTAGAAGCAAAAGGAGAAAGATCCTGGATTTCCTACATGTTACCTAGCAATTATAGCATGATAGTCATCAAAGTTTTTTAAATTTTTTAAATATTAGTTAACAGTTTATATGAGTTGCTTTTTCTCACAATTTCCTTTTTGATTTCTTTCATACATAGTGAGTTCTTTTTAACTTGGGTGGACTACAATACTCATCACAAATCGTTGAAACAGTGGCCATTTGTCTTGAATTTTCTCCAAATTTCTTACATTCACTCTTCACACCTTTGTTCTCACTCAAATGTGCCCCTCTCCTTCCAAAATGTTGAGCCAAGTGTATTTTGGACCACTGAAATGACTGCAAACCCAAATCAACGTCATGGAGGGGAAAATCACACAAGTGTTTCAAGATTTGTAATGAGCATTGTAGCTCATATGGTTCTTCTCTTCCCTACTAGTCCTTTCCTGCTGCTCTCTTTGTGTCTCATCATAACAGCAACTACTCGTATGCAGTAAAAATGGATAAAACTAAATTTAAATCTAAAGATAATTTACCCATAATCAGGACCACAGTCCACACATGGGCTTCAGACAAACAACATACATGTATCAATAGGGCTGGGACGGGAGGATGATGTGGATTTGAATTTGTTTAAACACGCATCCTTCTCCTCCCTCCCATACAAATTCCCCACTCTATTAGACTATCCCCATTACACAAACCACTTTCATTTTGGGTAATAAAAATGCATTGCCTGTACTTAACACTGACCTAACAGAGGACTCTGGCAAACCTGCAACTGCTTGCATCCCACATAAATAACGAAAAATAGTCTCCACATCCTTGAAGAAACAAAACAAGGAAAAATTCAATATCAAAACAACAGCAACAACAAAAACACATGTAAGAAGGTTAATAGTGTACGGTAGATTTGAGGGCAAGGACAAATACAAAGACAAGATTTAACCCTTCAAGCCCAAATATCCAAAAGCAAATTCTCCAAACTGATCTCTATACATTTCTTTAAAGAATGGGTTGAGAGAATTTGAGAAAAGATCAAAGCATTTTCTCTTTGGTGATCATGTAATTGATTCTCATAACCTAATCTCTTGACATTGTATGGATACCGTTGGGAGAAAATAATATTATTGATGTTGGTCACTATTGGGACTTAAAGGGTTGACTTCAAGTTCTTTTTTCCCATTATTCTAAAAATTATTAGATACTCCAGAAAGCTTTATTGCCCTTTTTTTCACCTGAAAAGTTAGCACAGTTATTTTTGCTAAAGGAGGTTAAGCCCTCTCCCGATTATAAAATGATAAAAATTCTACTTTTGAAAACTACACGTACAGAACAGGGGCCAGTTCAACTGTCAAAGTTTTTATGTACTGTACTTAATACCTATTTGGGTTGACCCAAATGATACAAGTTTGATGATTGATTCAGATGTTGAACTTACATATCATTAATTAGTTGGACTCAATTCATTTCAAATAAATCATAGTAATTTGTGCATTAGGTTCAGCACCTTAAAAGTTCAACCTTTGAAATGAAGTCACTCCACAGTCAAAATTCCCATGTGGGCCACTCAAACTTAATTCATGGGTTGACCCAAATAAGACATTGTCTGGGACTTATTGATTCAAACGACGATCTTTTCATCTACTTAAGTGAAAGGATTAGGGGTCCAGTACACAAAAAGTTCGACGTTTGAACTGGGCCTAAGTCTTGTTTCCATCACTAAAATATTCTTGCTAAAACCTTAAGTAGATCAAATGACAATGGCTATCACATTTCCCAGCCAAAATGACACTGGTTCATTTTTGCACGCATAACTCTGTAGTATGGAGAAATAATTCCAAATGATTTAAAGGTTTATTCTTCTGTTGCTAGTTTTTAGGCCATGATGCTAATAGGAAGAATAACCTAACAGGGCATTGAAAGCAAAGGAAGATGTTTCCCAGTTGTAATTTAATAGAAAGTTAGACCATGTACATGTATCCAGCTTTAACTAGTATGGCAACAGTAAAGTGACATTGATGTACACTGTAACATAGAACCTTAAGACAACTTAAGAATATCTTAACTCATTAAGAATTATCTGCTCCATCATTAACTATAGGTAATAAATTTATGTTAAAGGTTAAAATTAAATTCATGTTAAATTTTTTCAACCTGTTGTAGGTTGATTCTCAATTTCCTTTGTTTTCTAGCCCTAATTCATCAATAATTAGGACTAAGAGACAAATAACCTGAAATAAATTTTGAACTGTCACATATATGTTATGCAAAAAAGGTACACGTTGTTGGAGCCATTTTGGTTCACAAATAATTAACACTTTACAAGTCCAGAGACAAATCACAAATATTATGACTTGAACATGACCATTTTTTTCCTCCAGGTTTTGTACCAAGGTGCGGCTCCTCATGTCAGTTTCCACCGTTTTACAAAAATCGGTCAGATTTTTCATAAATAAATATATTTTTAATACACACTTTCCACGCTAAAATCTGTCCAATATCCTATCTGAATGACTAAGAAACCCTACCCAGGAAAGGTGACTGTGTCCCTACACGTATCTTTTTCCTTTCCTGTCTTTTATCTATTATAACCAAAACAGGTACTATTGTAGCTTAGCCCAAAATAGGTAAACTCTAGAAGTGTTCAGGGTGTTCATTAGGCATTGGAGATTGGAGAATTCTCTGTTTATTATGTAGAATTCTCCGGGTAACATTCGGCAGCCTGTGACTATTTTTATTCAGATGTGGAGCCTTTTTCAAAATATTCTCCTGTATTGTAACATTACACCCTTTTCTTAAAACTAGAATCCTTAATCGTCTCTATGGGTATTTCCAATGAACCTAAAGTGCAAAATTCTCTATTGATGAAGCAATGATCTTTGAGATTACATACAGCAACAATTGCCTTGCCATTCTAATCAAGTTTCACAACTAAAACATTAGTAGTGCAACAGGGTTGACACCAAAATTTCAAGTTGCCAGGTTAATACTACAAGTAGGTGGAGAATCAAACAGCTAGGGGTTTCTTTTGGTTCTATTTTTCTTCTATTTTCCTGTGAAAGTAGATTTGCTCATTAAACTTGTTGCTTCTTTTTATTTTTTAATTTCTGTCGTCATTGTGGTTGCTCTGAGCTCACCAGTGATGTTAGCCTCCTCCCCACCTCAAAAAAATCCAGACAATGATTTTGACTGAAAAACCGACAAATACATGGAAAACTTAACGTATGACAAAATCGAAGTTCCAGGTACTCATAAAGAGGTTCAGTCTGTATTAACCTAAGTTACCATGTTTGGAACCCTACAAAAATACTGGTTTCACACGAGCAAATATTTTAAACAAATAAGCACCCATTTTGATATAAGGGTTTGAACTGTAAAACATTTAAACACACCCAATGTCTACTCCTTGGATTTAATCTTAACACTTGGAGGTTGTTTGTTTCATAGCACTATCATGAATTTATTATTGAAGTTGTTAACAAGATTATACCGATCAGTATAGTTAATGGCAACTTGACCAAAGTCCTATTTACAACTATTGAAATTAAAATTGGGTTCGCTATCAAATTTTTCTGCACCAAAAGTCTGACAAAGTTAGAAAAAGCTCAAATCCTACTGTAAATTTTCTTTCGCTTACACGCGACAAAGTTGGTACAATAATAAATTGCAGTTAAAAATAAATACTTGGATAAAAAGAAACCAAAACCACAAATTAAACCTTTTTACGCTTTATTTGATTATTCGGAAAATTCATTTATCTATTATCAAACAAAATAACAAGGAACACAATGCGCTTAAAATACATTTGTAAAAACCGAGTATGAGTAATGATTCTGTACACTAGTAGTGTAATATATAAAATTACCATCAAACGGGTATCTAATCTTAGAATGATAAAATACTGAAACAGAAAACTTTAAAATTAAAGATCGTCACTTCCTAATAACGCAAGCAAGGTCTATCGTTAAACATGGAATTCGCACTTGCGAAATCTTTAGTTGAATTCTTGCATACATTTAAAGAGCAATACCCCCAAATCATCTTGTATTCTAAAAGCTGCGAATATTGATTAAGTTTCCTGTCCACTTGTGNGTATCAAATTTTTCTGCACCAAAAGTCTGACAAAGTTAGAAAAAGCTCAAATCCTACTGTAAATTTTCTTTCGCTTACACGCGACAAAGTTGGTACAATAATAAATTGCAGTTAAAAATAAATACTTGGATAAAAAGAAACCAAAACCACAAATTAAACCTTTTTACGCTTTGTTTGATTATTCGGAAAATTCATTTATCTATTATCAAACAAAATAACAAGGAACACAATGCGCTTAAAATACATTTGTAAAAACCGAGTATGAGTAATGATTCTGTACACTAGTAGTGTAATATATAAAATTACCATCAAACGTGTATCTAATCTTAGAATGATAAAATACTGAAACAGAAAACTTTAAAATTAAAGATCGTCACTTCCTAATAACGCAAGCAAGGTCTATCGTTAAACATGGAATTCGCACTTGCGAAATCTTTAGTTGAATTCTTGCATACATTTAAAGAGCAATACCCCCAAATCATCTTGTATTCTAAAAGCTGCGAATATTGATTAAGTTTCCTGTCCACTTGTGGCAATATAATAGCTTTATCAAGCGCGAACTCAAGTTTATTATCAATTTTGCTTACCGATAGCGCTCACTAACATTCGCTAATTGTACGCGAGGGAAAATAACATTTTTACTTGAGATTGGGAAACTGACAGCTTTTCATCTGCAATTTACACTGATTGTCGATTACATCGATCATGCACAACTGCTATGCATATCACAAATTTTATACAAATACCAAACTAATTTAACAACAAAATAACTTTAAGACTTACCTCATTGGTTCTATGAGGAACAGATTTACGAAGGCAGTTTATAAACTTGGAATTGTTGTTCAAATTTTCACAAAATGCCATGACTGATCGGAGATTTTACCCAGAAGGTAAATTCACATAGAAACGCAGAAGCTCGGCTCTTTTTAAAACCAACAATACACAAATATCTCTCTCAGGAAAAGAAGCCATACGTGACTTGGGGAACGTTGAAATCACCACACGAAAATCCTTGCATTCCAGTAATCTTTCTCGTATGTAAAGAAACTCTATCCTTTATCACTCCCTTGAACAACTCGTACTATACACACATAACAAGTTGATGTGTTTACATTTCGCAGCTCCAGAAAATGGCGTTCTGCAAATATACCAGACTTGACCAAGCTGTGCTGTGTTTTTTGTGACCTTCTTGTTTCCAGACAAATGAAAAACCAATGTAGAAATTTGTCGTCGCTGTTTTCAATCGGATGATTTCCTCCCTTAGTTTAACAAAAACGGCGTATCAGAAATCGACGGCTTTGCCAATTGCCAGACGAGACGCGCCAGTTACTGAAGAAAATCAACACAGTACGATCCTGTGAAGCAGAAAGAACAAATATGAGCCAAATTTGAAAGGAAAAGGAGCCTAAATTAGATGAATGCTGGCAAAACTTAGCGTTCTCCTTTCATACCCAAGAAAATCATTGGATTGAATTGTGTTGCACGACAACCAAAGAACGTCTTCGAGCTTATCAGAATTCGAAATTAGGGGTTGACAAGCCAACAGGTTTTTGGTTGATTTACCTTCTAAGCAGGTTAAGGACCAATGCTAAACATCTGTTCGGGACTTTCGTTCGCTTAAAACCTGACAAGCATAAAATATAGGCGTAATATTATGTGTAAACCGGTTGGAACTAAAATGCTATAATAAGACATCACGGAAGACTGATCGCCAAAAAACTACGGGAAAGCAAACTTGGTCCCATTTTGTCCGAAGTAAACTCTTACTTTCAGACGTTCTTTGATGGATAAGTGTATAAAATTACTCTTCCATATTAATGAAATCCCAAAAATGGCCTCTCAATCGAAATTACTTATCGAAATTGAAGACACCACCACAAAACGATTTTCAAATTCATACCATCTCACAGACGGTATGAATTTTAGTGTCTTCGTGCGTGAAAGAAAAGGAAATAGTGACTCACCAGTATCAGGTTCTACAGAAATGAACGACTAAACCTCAACTCTACTTGCTGAATTTCCGAGTCGATTGTTCGCAATATGATTGTTAAGTTTTGAAAAGATCGCATCCATGCATTTACATGTTTTAACAAACGGAAGTTTCTGAGGTCAGGTGACCAGGCTCACTATGATGAGAGAGAACTGAGAACTACACCGGAAGAGAAATGGAAAACAGGCCCGCAATTCGTGCAAAGAGTTTTTCCGGCAAAACTGATGCGGCCAATCGAGACGCAACATTCGACAGCTAAATTATTAAAAGCATAGTTCACAAAAACATCTACTAACTGTCTAACTATCAAAAAGAAAATTCCATTCTTCTCTCTTGTAACAATGCTATTAGCTACGTTTAGATCTCCAAGAATGCGTTGGAAAAGCAGTTTGAGTTTGGTTGTACGTATTAGAGAGATTAAGATTCACGTTTACGGCACACGGCAAACGGCAAACGTCAGTTGAGAATTTCTCAAAATAGAAAATAAGCAGATAAAAACAGTCCAGAACGATTCTTTTGGATAAAACTGGCATAAATTTACCTATTTTTGTGTAGAAGCAATAAACAGTAAACAAAAAATAAGGGGAAAACTTGGTCACGTGGTACAAATTCACGTTTGCCGTTTGGCGTAAACGTGAAACTTAATCTCTCTATTGATCGTTTTCTACTGTAAGTGACAAATTAGCAGCTGTTTTTTCTCTTAATTTGACTCATGAGTGAGACAGAGGTAAAAAAAAACGTCTCGTGTACTTGATCATTACTAATAAAAGGTGTCCAAATCAATGTTTAAAGAGCCAGCTCCACACAACACGTGTAGGATATGTTGCATGAAAATCGCGCAGGACAGTTATCATGAAAAACGGCATACACTGGAAAGGTGGATCTGCATTATTACCCTTGGATGTGTCTAGCTTAAAAAGACCCTTATCTAAAGAAAGATTGTGTAAGTCTTTGATAACAGCAACCGTTTGTAGCCTTACCAAAATAGGTCCTGCCCATCAAAAGCCGCACGATTGGCACCCAGGTGCCCCATGTCAGTTTTTTCTTGGTCCATGCTAGGCCAGCTTGGCATGATGGGGCCCAGGCAGTTGAAGTAACAGTTGGAGTGACAGTTTGTTTAAATTCGACTGCATTATTTTGTCAGAGTTTTGGAAGGACAGTATTTTTGAAAAATAAAAAAAATGCCAAAAAAAAAGAACAGAAACCTACTGAATTCTTTTTGTCAATTCTACTATTTGAAGTTTTCTAAAAAGTTTTAGCATTTTTTGTTTTGTTTTTATCGATTTTTGTGTTTTTTTATTTGTTTTTTACTAACGACGGAGTCGGAGTCGGAGTCGTATTTAAAGCCGAGTCGTAAAAGCGCTTATTACCTGGTGAAAATCAAAAATTGATGATCATTATGATTAGATTGTCGGAGTCGGAAGTAGAGGTGGAAGGATAAACGAATCACAATGCACGTTCCCACGCATTGTGATTGCTTTAGTTCTTTCGCTTCTGCTTCTGACTCCGATAATCTGATTTTCACTAGATCATAAGCGGAACGCAAGCAACAGTCGTAAGCGGAATTAAGGAACACTGTTTTCACCCGATCATAAGATCTACGCTTCTGATTACGACTCCGACTCCGACTCCGACTCCGTCGCTAGTAAAAACCAGCCTTTATAAAATTCTGAATCAACCTTAGCAAGAAATAAATAAAATATACAGAAAAAATAGAATTTATTTAATAGGTTTTATTCACTCCTCTGTTTTTGGTTTGCAGCAACAATGTCGTTGTAGCCAAGAGATAAATCTGGTCACTCTTTGTTTCTGCAAAGATAAAGTATATAACCAAAGGAGATTGTTAAGCCAAAATACACAGTAAAAACGCGATCTTCAAGAACGACGAAGAGCTACGCCACACTGATTAGGTACTTTTTTGGTCCGAGAAAACAGCAACTGAGCCACTGGCCATCACATGACATGGAGGTTAGTAAGAGACTGGACATGAGCACGATAACAATTTTCGCATCTACCGGGAACAAAACCTCATTTACACGAGAAAAACTTGCTTTTATATCTGAATATCACTTAAAGGACGATATTTGCTTTGTAATGCTTGTAGAGATGACACGCATCTGCTCAACAAACCTGTCCCCAACCCCCAGTGATTGATTAGTTGACTGCTGGCAATTATACGCAGTCGTGAGGCCGTGTATCGTTACCACACTCCCAGGATTTTCAGAAGTTAACCTGAAACCGTTTTAGGCCAATTCAATTTTGCAGAGTATCTGTAATTTTTTAACCAACTCACCAAAGTCTTCGCTTTTTTCTTTCCAGTTCGTCTCCTTTCCTCTTTACGAAATGAAACTTCCTTTTCCCCATCGCAGGAGTCTTCAGATTGACGGTTGTTCGCGAGAGAGAACCGGTCAGGCTCGGAAGAAGCAGTGGTCTGCTGGCAATGTCCAACTTTTGGTTCGTCATTTCCTCTCTCTTCTTTCTCTTTCATTTTCAGAGGCAAAGATTCAAACGCCTTATTGCAAGAGGTGATGTTGGTGAGCTTGGTGGCATTAGAACTCTTTTTTTTCGGCACCCGAGATGCACGGCCGGCTCCTTTTACAGCCACTAGTGTAGGTATTGTGGTTGGTGCATTTACCCACTCTGGTGCACAAATGGCGAGCTGCTGTAGGTGGTTGCCCAGTCTTATGGGCACTTCATTGTAGACAGCTGATAAATGAGCAACCTCAGGAACTTCAGGGATAGACCGGCAGCTGCTGGTGTTATTAATAAGCAGCGACAGGAACTCGATTAGGTTTTGGTCGTGGGAGGGAGCAAGTCTTATCACGAAATCTGTTTTGGGACAGACGATGGTACTTGGAACTAGCTCGATGACACTCTGCGCTATCAGACTTGTTCGGAAATCCGTTTTCTTCACCATGTTCACAGCGGCAATTATTTTGTTGGCGCCGTCTAAAACAGTTCTGGCTCTATCTGAATTAGGTGGTTTTGGTGACACCAGGACTCTCTGTGTTACGTTATAACTGTGAGGCAGCACGGCAACCGTCTTTCCTTCCATTGGTCGATCATTAGTGTCGAGCTCTCTGATTGTCGCTCCTCCAGACGATGGTCCAGGCCACTGGAAGTACTTAAGCAGCTCAAAGTACCCCCAGTAATAATATCTAAGGTGTTGATACATCCACTCGCCCACGCTGTACCCTAAATCGAGTTCCTGGTTTGCTCGGTCAAGTTCTTGTTTCTTCTGCTGAAGCTCCTGGGTGCTCTCATCAAGCTTATCTAGCAATGAAGTACACTGCGCTTTCAGCTTGAGATTTCTTTTCTTCTCACTACTTAGTTCTCTAACGGCGTTCTTATGCCTCCACTTGATGTCATATTGAGATTCCTTGAGCCGCCCTAACTCTTTCTTCAATGTATTTTCTGTTAAATTCCTGGATGTTTCGAGGTCCTTGAGGTTCTTTTGAGATTTTTCCAGCTCCTCTCTCTGGATATGATTATCCTCTTCCAGCCACTGTCGCTCTGATTGCAGGTTGTTAATCACTGCTGCGTGTTGCGCAATGGTAGCTGCTTGTTGGTTTACAATTGCTACTAGTTGTTCATAACTGTAGACATACATCTGTGCCATCCTAAAAAATATTTTC